TAAGGGACGTCCTATGCATGGACGAGCTGAGTTTCTTAGCCGTCCTGGAGGTGGACTGTGGAACAGTGGTAGGAGTGTACCTTCATCTTCGGGCTCTCCTTCGAACGGTATGGTTTTAATATGCTTTTTTATACATTGTTGGTCTTAAAAGTGTGACAAAGTCTCCGTTCGTTTAGCTTATTTTCTTGTGTTTTTCCTTAACCACAGGTGTGAGGCATGTGATGTCACCGTCTTCAGTTAACCGGAGATTACCGATTGAAAGGCAGGATTACTATTCTACGTACCACAGGACGCCGAACCGGAAGAAGTTGTCCAAGGAAGAGTATGAAGAGTTGACACGAGAGACGACGAGGGAAGCAATGGCGGGGCTCGCAGCTTCTCCAGGGTTCAGTGATTGGTTAATTGAGCATGCTGATAGAATCAAGCTGCTCCCCGGTGAGAGTTATGATGACGAATTTGGTAGTGAATCAGATTCAACCGGTGAACAATCTTGGACTGGTTTTTTCTTGGGTTAGAGAGCGTAAGCCTTCCGAGGCTCTTAACTACTTGCAACGCACGGTAGCGCTTACCATTAACTTGGCATGGACCAGAGAGGTCGTCAGGCTTTTTTCAGCTTTTGGAGAGTTTAGGGGATAGTTAGGAGTTAGATTTGATCTTTGTACAATTACAGTTTTTCTTAATATAAGCAGCTTAGGTTACTTATTTGTGTAGTTATGAAATTTGGTATCTTTTTGTTTTCTACCATCTAAATCATAAGTCAATACATAAATACATAAGCCACCCTACTGGTCATTGTTTTGAGCTTTCATGCATGGATTCTCTTTTCTGTTCTTGAAAATGGTTTAAAGATGAACTGGAGATTATAAAGATAAAGCAAATAGATTGTTGTAAAACACACAAACGACGAGATTGTCTTCAGTCGGATTGTGTTCTCGATTGTATGAAACCGTCGTTCAAATTTCCCAACTTATAGCATGCATGTGACAGTTTCCTTGGAGAGATTTAATGGGAAGAGAATTAACATATTCGAAGCACTTGAATTAAATTTAAGGTAAAATGAATCGACGCCTAAATTTACGAGTCATGGGCTCTTCGTATTCTAATAAAGTCGAAATGAGACTGTTACGCTTTCCCTCGCATGTTATTTCCGAGACAAACTCTTCATCTTACTAACATCGTTTTAATCAAACCCTAAATTTTGTCTTGAACATACCTGAGGTAAGGTGAGGTTCCTCTATATATATATATATATATAAGTGTATCTTGTTTTAACTCTAGACCCTGACGTCGTTTGGGAAGAAATGGGTTCAAGCTCAGCAGATTCAACAATTGTGAAAAGCTTGAGAGAGCATCCTCCTTCTACGTATTCCCTCAAGATTCACAACTTCTCACAGCTTGAGAATTCGACTGCCTCGTCGGATGATAAATACCAATCTCGTATTTTCTCTTCTGGTGGGCATAACTGGTATGTATAGTGTATTCATTTGTCATAATATAGTATTAATTTGAAAATTTTATCAATGATATATTGAGCAGATGCAACGTTGTTTATAAATTAAAACAGGAGATTGATTGTGTACCCAAAAGGAAACAAAAAAAGACAATGGGAGTGGATTTATTTCAATGTACGTGGAAATAGACAGCAAAAATTTGATGATATTCACACCAGCAACTGAAGTATTTGCGGAGCTCCGTTTCTTTGTCTACAACAAGAAAGAAAACAAGTACTTTACTATTCAAGGTCGATCTACATGATATTACCATTCTCTCGATCTCTCTCTAGATTTATTCATATGTTTATATATATCACTGATCAATGTGTTTTACATATTCAGATGTAGAAGTAAAGCGGTTCAATGCGCTTAAAACAGTGTGGGGGTTGCAGCAAGTTCTTCTATCTGATACGTTCAATAACCCTGAAAACGGTTACGTATTTGAGGGAGAACAATGTGAGTTTGGTGTTGATGTCATCGTTGCTCCACCTCTTACCAATTGGGAAATACTCTCTTTTGATGAGAAACTCCCGGATCCCAAGTTCTCTTGGAATGTTAAGAATTTTTCTACGTTGAACGAGAATTTGTACAAATCAGCCAGTTTTTCAATGGGGGGAAGGAAATGGTAAGTACATATAGCAAAACTCAGTTTTTGGACCCACAAATATATGTGTGTGTCGATGAATGTTAATAAGGGGTTCATAAATATAAATGTATATATGTAGGTTTATACAGCTGTATCCGAAGGGCGATTCTACAGCAGATGGCAAATGGTTATCGATTTTCCTACGTTTAGCTGGTATTGATAAACCGAAAGCAGATGAGAAGATTTTCATGCAAGGACATGTGCGAGTTTTGGACCCACTTGGATCCAATCACGTTTCAGGCAAAAGTATTTTCTAAAACACCAGTTTATACAGTCTTGTACTGAGATACTTATTTGGCGTTCGCGTCTCTCTCATAGCCATGTTTTGCATTTTCTTTACTTGCAGTAAACCGGTGGTACAGGGAATCTAAGACGGGTTGGGGTTGGGGTTTTAGTAAGTTTCTGTGTTTGACTGAACTTCGGAAGCTTTACTTGGACGAGGAAGATACGTTGAGACTTGAGATCGATTCGAAGTTGTTTCTGCTACCAAACACTCTACCATTATCTAATCTTAGAATATTAATTATCTACCATTCAGTCATTCTTCTACTTTGATTATTATACATTGTACTATGAGACAAGGCCTTGTCTTAGACCTTTGCTTTTTTAATTTATCATTGTGTTCTATAGTTTTTTTTTAAAAAGCATATACAAGAAACTGATTCCCCATAGGTTGGATTTTTTTTTGGTTAGCAAAATGTAGTATACGTAAATGGTAATTTACTAATTTAGTAATGAAGACAAATTGGGTGGGTTATGTAAGAGGCGCTTAGACTTGAGCCGGTGAAAAGTCCACAGGCGACACACCTCAGGTCTAATCTCAAATGTCGGAAAATGTGTTTCTTGGGTCAATTGTGTTACTGTGGGCTAAGAAAAAAAAAAGAGGGTTTGCTTTAAAAAACAAACCAATCGTTCTCTATTTTATTCGTTCTTCCAAGTTTAGGGTTTTACAAAACAGAGACGTACTGAAGAGAGAGAAGCGAAGAGAACAAGCACGAGAGCTATCAAGTCACAACGTCTTCATCACGGTAGAATCTAAGGGTGGATATACTAACAAAAAAAAGCTCCCCGCAAAATCTTTCGTGAGGTTATATTGACCATTAGCAATGCTCATTTAAATATTATCAGCAACCGTGGAGACTTCATAGACTCAATAGTGACTCGTTCTCTCTTGATTATTCATGTCTGGTATATGATCTTCATCAATGATCTGAGAACGAATGTTGAGGAAAGAGATTCATCAAGGCCAAAGAGAAACTTATGAACATGAAGTAACTTCTTGTTCTTTCTCGATACCATGAAGTAACTTGTGGAAATTTTGTTTACTAAAATTATAAGATCTGATCACATATATACATCATATCACCAGAACATAGAAAGCGTACGGAGGATACCACAACGTGTTTGTGTCGACGTTCGGAGACAAAGGAAAGCATTGGAAAATGATGGTTTGCTTAATTTTCTTCTCCGTGACATAAGAAATAAAATCAAATAACTACACTTACCCGTGCATCCGCACGGACGGTTACCTAGTAATATATAAAAGTTGATGGTATAATGCATTGAGAGCGTCTATATGGGATTAAAAAACTTGATCTGATTGGTCCACATCAGCATATTCATTAAATATAAAATGTTAAGAATGATTAGGACGAAAAAACTTGATTTAATTGGTCCACATCAGCTTTTAAATCAAACCAAAAATTATTATGTATAATTAAAACATTAAAAGTTAGTTTAACAAATTATGTCCAACAAAAAAAGTAAATTCAATCTGATTGATACAAATAAACACATTTATTAAATCAGAAAATGTTAATATGTTTTAAAATTTTAAAAGTTAAATAAAAAAATTAACAATTAACAATACATGTATAAAAAAAAGTAACAATTATCAATTATCAATTTAAAAAAATCTACAATAACTCGATTTAACAATTAAAACAATGAAAACTGAATAAAAATATAACACAAAACTTTTGGAAGACATAATGGAGAAGAAAAAAATAGTTTTGCATGATCATTACAACTTTCTAACAAAATTAAATACGAATCAACATGAATCATTGATTATATATATAGTGGTACACAACATCAATAAGACTTTCAATAGAAAACTAAATATTTGAACACATAAACCTTTAAGAAAAAATAAAACTATAGAAATTATATGAAAAACAGAAAATAATATCAAAATCTTAGCAAGATTATATTTCTCTAAATCAAATGTATATGTACGTCAAAGTTGAATAATTCAATAGGTGTCATTGTTATTATTTTATCTAATAGTTTTTAAAAATTTATCAATAAAAATAGGATAAATTACACATTATATATTAAATGCTCTTATATAAATAAAAATTTCTATAAATATATATATAATTTTTAATAATTTTAAAGATAGTAGCTAAAAAAATAAACCAAAATATAATACAGACTCGCGATATACCTAGTAATCTGGTCACATATATACATAGATTAAAAAATAGATTAAACAAATTATCATCTCTTTTATAAAATATCTGATCACATATATACATAGATTAAAAAAAAATATATTAATAGATTTAGACTGGACCCGGGGCGGTCGCCCCTTTTGTCTCTCCCACTAAGCCGCCCCTGGGTATAATATATATGCTAAAATATGTATGTTATATGTACATCAAATATATATGTTACATGTACTTATCTCTAATGTTATATTTCCTTATCTCTATATCCCTCGCATGTTATTTCCAAGACAAGTACTCTTTTCTAAAGAACATCGTTTTGATAAAACCCTAATCTTTATCTTGAACACGCCGAGTTTCCTCTGTATATATATATAATAGTACGTGGAATTTAAGAACGTTTTGGAAAAAATGGGTTCAAACTCAGCAGCAGTTTCTACAATTGTGCAGAGCTGGAGAGAACACCCTCCTTCCTCATATTCTCTTAAGATTCAAAACTTCTCACAGCTTGAGAAATCGACTGCCTCCTCTGATGATAAATACCAATCTCGTCTTTTCTCCTCTGGTGGATATAACTGGTACGGCTCGTGTTTCATTCAGCATCATAACAATATGGATATTTGAGTATTAATATATTGATCTAATGCAATATTCTATTATTTTTTTGTTCATAAAATTACAGGAGATTGATTGTGTATCCAAAAGGAAACAAAAAGGACAATGGGAGTGGATTTATCTCAATGTACGTGGAAATAGACAGCAAAAGCTTGATGATATTCACACCACCAACTGAAGTATTTGCGGAGCTCCGTTTCTTTGTCTACAACAAGAAAGAAAACAAATACTTCACTATTCAAGGTCGACTACATGATATTATCATTCTCTCACTCTCTCTCTCTCTCTCTCTAGATTTACTCATTTATATATATCACTGATCAATTTGTTTTATATATTCAGATGTAGAAGTAAAGCGGTTCAATGCACTTAAAACGGTGTGGGGATTGCAACAAGTTATATCATCTGAGACATTCACTAACCCTGAAAACGGTTACGTATTTGAGGGAGATCAGTGTGAGTTTGGTGTTGATGTCATCGTTGCTCCACCACTTACCAATTGGGAAATACTCTCTTTTGATGAGAAGCTCCTGAATCCCAAGTTCTCTTGGAATGTTAAGAATTTTTCTACGTTGAAAAAGCATTTGTACAAATCAGGGAGTTTTTCAATGGGAGGAAGGAAATGGTGAGTATATATATAGCAAAGCTCTGTCTTTGGACCAACAAATATATGTGTGTGTTTATGAATGTTAAGAAGTTCATTATTATACATGCTATGTAGGATTATACAGCTGTATCCAAAGGGCGATTCTAGAGCAGCCGGCAAATGGTTATCGGTTTTTCTGTGTTTAGCTGATACTGATGGTGATAAACCGAAAGCAGATGAGAAGATTTTCATGCAAGGACATGTTCGAGTTTTGGACCCACTTGGATCCAATCACGTTTCACGCACATGTATAATTTATAAAACACCAGTTTATACAGTCTTTGTAGATCATGTACTGAGATATTCGTTTGGCTTTCGTCTCTTTCTAAAATCATGTTTCGCATTTATAATTTCTTGCAGTGAGCGCCTGGTACGAGGAATCAAGCACGAGTTGGGGTTGGGCTCGGACTTTGCCTTTAACTGAACTTCGGAAGGTTTACTTGGACAAGGAAGACACGTTGAGTGTTGAGATCGAATTCAAAGTTGTCTCTTCGACCAAATACTCTCCCGTTATTTAGTTAACCTCTATTTCTGTTCTCTTTTACAATATATCAATTATCTACATTTCAGTTAATCTTATACTATGGCAACGTACTATTAATTATCATTTGAGAGTAATATTTGACAAAAGTTATTTTGAAAAATGAAAAAATCCTCTTTTTTTTGAAACAAAGGAGTATTTGAGAAGGTTCTTAACTAATTTTTTTCATGATTGTTGTTAAATGCTAAAAATAATATTGTATAAAAATATAACGTTTGCGGAAAATATTAAAAAAAACCTACCAACATCTAAATATTACAATTCACTTAATTGTTTAGAACCAATACTTACATGCATGAATATAGAGACATTTACACTAAAGGCACTTTTGAGAGATTGGTTATAGAAAAAGGCACTTAGCTCAACATAAGTACTTATTGAGTGCAAATGGATTGTTATGTCCTTATCAATTATTTTCTCATTGTTTTACCTGCTTTTATTATTAAAATTTTACATATGTATAAAAAAAATTATTGAAACGACAAACCTTAGTGAATGACCAGATTTTTGGCCTTGTTTCTTCCAAAAAAGTTTGACGGTATAGGCATCTCTTTATTGATGTTTTTATTTGTATTTTTGGCCCTGATTTACTCTGCAAATACTTTCGGTGGCTTAGATCTGCATAATTTTATGGATCTGTGTGATGATTTTTTGGTTCAGACGAGAGAGGGGAGATAATTTCGGCACCGGACAAGAATCATCTGCCACAGTTGTTACAAATCGATTTCCGGCGACAAGAGTAAATGTGCACTCAAAACTAGATTTGCTGACTACTATTGATGACATTCTCCAGGATTTACCGAAGTTTGACTTCATCAAGGAAACATTCTTTGGAGGGTTGTTCGATTTCCCGGTGAATTTATGCTAGAACACAGGTAGACTCATCCACAGATTGCCATCCATTGATCTATTTAGAGTGGCCAAATCAATTGCATCCATGAGCGTCCGTCCATGGAAGATGCTTTAATATGCATGCATGTGGATGTCATATATATATACAGCCATCCATAAACTAGCATCTATGGATATATTTTAGTGGATGTACCAATTGTCATTCATGGATTATAATGTGTCGGTTTTTCTATGTTTATATGTATGTGGATGTCATGCACTGCCATCCATAAAAAAAGTTAACCATGGATGTATTTATAGTAAATATACGAACTGTAATGTTTCAGTATACAATTAAAATGAAGAGATTATAGTATATTTGAATGTATATGGAAGTACCAAAGTTTAGCGAACTATTAAAATCCAAATAGTGCCATCTTTTAATATGGACGTAGATATAATATATAGCCCTCCATATATTATCATCTACTGATCTATTTTGAGTAGAGTCAGTTGTATCCATGAGCGTTCATCCATGGAAATGTTTCAGTATATATGCATGTGGATGTCATATATGGCCATCCACAAATTAACATCCATGAATATATATTTTAGTGAACGTATAAACTGTCATCCATAGATTAAAATGTCTACATAATGTTATCTATGGTCGTGTCCGTATATAGTAGCATATTTACCATATATTACCATCCACACATTATCATCCATGGTTCAAAAAAATCGCTTGCAGCCATACGTTGGCATCTATGGAAGGTCCGACGGTATGAGTAACTCCAATTTTCTGTTAACTTATCCGATGAGTGTTGTCCACACAGATTGTTCTTGTGGAGTTCAATACATCCATAATGTGGGTTTGCATCTATCCGACAATGCGGATCCTTCATGATAAATGTTTTACATCAAAGGTATACGTATACATCAACTTTAGGTTACAGTATCCACATGGTGTTGTCCACGAACATCTTCTATCCACTTGGTGTTGTCCATTGAGGGGCTTCAATTATCTCCGACGAAGAAATCCTGATTCGATAGAGTCAACAACCACGCCTACTTAAACAGTCCCCGAAACGGATTACTAGTTTTCTAATAGACCATAGATTACAGCTTATCAACATTATCATTATCTATGTGTATCAGATTTTTCATGTTCGATGCAGAGATTTATACTCCGACTTTCTCTCGATAAATTAACTTGTAGATTCCGGCGATTTGGTAAAATAAACGATGATGGCGGTAATTTCAATGGTTGCATCGGTGACCTAGAAGGACACCACAATTCGATGAGATACCAAACACATCATCAGCGGTGATGGTGGAATAAAGATTTTAATTAATAAAGAAGAAACTGTCGTTTTGTTTTATCGTTAATGAATTATTGTTTTACCACAGAAATTGTTAAGGATATAATAGGAAATAAACATATGTCATAACAAAGAAAAAAAAAAAGAAAGTGCTCCAGTTGCAAGAAGTGCTCTTTTATGTAATTATATACTCTAGGAAAGTACTTATTTTTGTAACATTCTCCATGAATATATATATTTATTTCTTTTTAAAATTCAACCATACATTAATAAAATATATATTACAAAACATATTTTTTGTTATTTTCTTTTAATCTTTTAATACAAAACATAAGATTAATTATGGCTAAGAGCACATAAGCACTGGATTGATTGATCAGGTATGTTCGCTCGAGTGTTACTGTTAATCGTATATGTCGTGTGTAGTGTTCTTGCTTTTGTTTAAGCTCTTCTACTTGTTTTGTCCAAATAAAAAGAGAGATATCCATACCGAAGATTGTTCGACACCCTAGCATAGTGAGGCTGTATGAGGTATGTTAGTCTCCTAGTTCTTTTTTTTTCTTGGCATCATCCTCTATCTGAAGCTTGTTCTTGTGTTGTTGTAGGTCTTGGCAAGTCCTTCGAAGATATATATTGTTTTGGAGTTTGTGACAGGAGGAGAGCTCTTTGATAGAATTGTAAGTAATCTCATTCTTGTAATGCTTTTTACTACTTTCCGCTTTAATTTTTTGGTCTTTTATCAAATCTTGGATGTCTTTTGTTAATTTAGGTTCATAACGAGAGATTTGAAGAAAGTGAAGCTCGCAAATACTTTCAACAGCTTGTAGATGCTATTGATCATTGTCACTGCAAGGGTATTTACCACCGTGACCTATAGGTGAAGCCTTTTTTTTTTCTTCTGTTCCTTAGAATATTTCTACTTTGTCATTGTGTTGTAATTCCAGACTTGATGTCTATGTGTCATTATTGATATATCTAAATTTTAGACCTGCATGTTCTTTCGGAAGAATGATCATCATGCAAAACTGGAGAGAGCATCCTCCTTCTTCATATCCTTCTTTTCTGTTCTTGAAAATGGTTAAGATGAACAGGAGATAAAAAGGAAAATCAAATAGATTGTCTTCACTCGAACTGTAAAACGCAGACGAAGATATTGTCTTCACTCGAATTGTGTTGTCGATCGTAAGAAATGCGAATACTGAAAATACAAGTTTAAAAATTGGAAACTTAACTAATTTAACTGTGAAGCTAATAAAGGTGAATATTCCACATTCGTTCTTCGAAATTTCAAATTTCTAACCTGAATAGTAGTGATTTTTAAATTGGAGATAAAAATGAAAGACGGACGAATTTTAATAGTGAAAACCCCTGAATTCACGAGTGATTGCTAAGAAACTCAGCTCGACCATGTAATGAATTGGAAAGTGTTGACTGTATTCATTCACAAGATAGTGTATTTATACAAATATGTAGACCTTAAACTTATGTTATATGTTATTAGAATATCTTGGCAATTATGGTTACTCCCAAGATGATAGTGATGTGATTCCAATTACATTGAAGAGTTGATTTCCTCTTATTGTATAGATTAGATACTTTAGGAAGGGGTCTCTATTATATATGTATTGTCTTCTTCATTAGTCAATAACACGAACATATTCAGCAATTCTCCATGATTTCTTTATGGTATCAGAGTTTGAAATACAAGGGATTATTGGAAGATGAATTTATAAAAAATTGTTTGATTTTAAAAGTTAAAATATTTGTTAAATTTGTAAAAAAAATTATTAGATTTGGAGGGAGTTTATATATTTAGAAAATCTATAAAAATATTTTAATAGAATTGATTTTGAGAATCTTAAAGAGATAGCTAGTATTTTGAAAGTTTTGTCTCATATGTTAACTATGTGTTTCCCGGTTTGGTTAATTTTTTTTAAAGTATAAAATTAGTTTATTTATAGATAAAAAAATAGATTTTATAATGATTCGAAACCAAACTTAATATATTTTATAATGATTTTATAATATTTTTTATATTATCCGATAAAAACTTATAAATATACTTTGTTGTTTTGTTGCATTTATCAAACATGATAAATAATTCTTTTCTTTTGATGTAAATTGGTAGATTATGATTAATGAAATTAAAAGTTTGCATTAAAAAAAACATAGCAATCCAAAATGATCAAAACCAAAGGATCCTTGTTTCATATCAACTTAATATTAATTAATATATATAGAGTTTTAAAAGGGTTTAAATGATTTAGAGTTTTACTTATGATCGCATAAATCAATTAGGTTAGTCAAAATATTAGTAGGTTAAATAATCAAATTAAAATCAGTTTAATAAAATAATTAGCATTTTTTATATATTCTAGTTACTTTTTTTTAGTTAACTGTATATTTTTATGATAAACTTGAATTTGGAAATCTAGATTTAAAAAAAAACAAAAATCAATTAAAATTAGATTATATTAATTTGTTAATTTCATTAAAAGTAATTAAAGTAAATTCATATACGGGACAAAAGGTAATCAACCATCATAACTCTTAAGCACGGTTCAACTTACTTCTAAATTAATAATATATATGATTTATTTAAAATCAATATCCCAGTAACAATAAAATTTGATGAAATCATGAAATTTTTAAAATCCAAACTTTTTGAATAACAATGGATTAAATATGGATTTTAAAAATCATCAAACCAATAACACTAGATTTTTATTAAGAATACCAGAATTTATTAACCAATAACAATGGATTTTGAAAATTTTAACAATGTTCTAAAATCCATCTCCCAATAACCCCTAAAATCAAAAACTTTGAATTTTTTTTTTCTTTTGAAATTCGATCATGACATCAAACACTCCATCACCGATGCTCCTGCAACACTGAACATAAATAAAGTGAGAAGAAAAATCTCACCATACAACCTGTCAACAATCATGGTGTTGTCAACATAAACGAACGAGGACATAGGACTTATGCAAATCAAGTCTATGTTTCAAAAATTGCGAACCAGACCACTGAGCAAGCAAATTACGTACTCACAGATCAAGATCGTGACGGCGGCTTGTCCGAACAACAATGGGGCCAAATCAAGAGCATTCTCAATGCTGGAAGAGATGCATCCACGACTGAAATTGTTTCTGGTAAATCGTCCTCTGTCTCTTGGATTCTTGACACAGGTGCGTCTCACCATTTGACAGGAAGATTTGATGCATTATCGAATGTTAGAGATATGGCACCTGTCTTGATAATCATGGCTGATGGAAGAGAACAAGTTTCTCTTAAAGAATGATCAATACGTCTTGGTCCTGACCTGGTTTTGAAATCGGTGTATTTTGTTGAAGAGTTGAAATCAGAAGAAGAAGAAAGGACAACTTTTATGGGCTCCAATATCAGGAGGAGAAATTGAAGAAGAAGCTTTGGGTCAACGTATTGGGCCTCCAATACAAAGAGATACAACTCTGGAAAATGGGTCTACAAGTCAACAAAGTCAGTCCAATAATTCTTTGTCTCAAGCCCAAATAACAGAAGCTGAGCCCACTAAAATAGAGCCCACTCAAAAACACAGAATCACGTCTTCCTGCACCTGCAATTGAAAGACACGAAGAAGATGATATTGTAGCCCCACCAGTTGAGCCGCCGCTTGGTCGAGTTCACCGGAAAAAGGAAACACCAGTCACACTGAAAAATTTCGTGGTGACTTTCAGTTGACGACAAACCTGCCCCACAAAATAGTAAGTATCTTAAACCTTTTTCAAAAATAGAAAGTATCTAATCTATTCAATTAAGAGAAAATCAACTCTTCAATGTAATTGGAATCACATCACTATCATCTTGGGATTAACCATAACTGCCAAGATATTCTAATACATGTTATTTCCAAGACATCACTATCTCTAATGCTATATTTCCATATCTCTATATCCCTTGCATGTTATTTCCAAGACAAGTATCCTTCTTCTTAATAACATCGTTTTGATAAAACCCTAATCTTTATCATGAACACGCCGAGTTTCCTCTGTATATACTATATAATAGTACGTAGAATTTCACGTCATTTTTTGAAAGAATATGGGTTTATCAAACTCAACCGCAGCTTCTACAATTGTGAAGAGCTGGAGAGAGCATCCTCCTTCCTCATATTCTCTTAAGATTCACAATTTCTCACAACTTGAGAATTCGACTGCCTCCTCTGATGATCCAAAATACCAATCTCGTATTTTCTCCTCTGGTGGATATAACTGGCACGGCTCGTGTTTTCATTCAGCATAATAACAATGTGGGTATTTTGATTAATAATATATTGATCTAATGCAATATTCTTTTTTTTATGATAAAATTACAGGAGACTGATCGTATATCCAAAAGGGAACAAAAAAGACAATGGGAGTGGATTTATCTCAATGTACGTGGAAATAGACAGCAAAAGCTTGATGATATCCACACCAGCAACTGAAGTAGTTGCGGAGCTCCGTTTCTTTGTCTACAACAAGAAAGAAAACAAATACTTTACTATTCAAGGTCTAACTACATGATATTATCATTCTCTCTCTCTCTCTAGATTTATTCATTTATATATATCACTGATCAATATGTTATATATATATATATATATATATTCAGATGTAGAAGTAAAGCGGTTCAATGCACTTAAAACGGTGTGGGGATTGCAACAAGTTATAACATCTGAGACATTCAGTAACCCTGAAAACGGTTACGTAGTTGAGGGAGATCAGTGTGAGTTTGGTGTTGATGTCATCGTTGCTCCACCACTTACCAATTGGGAAATACTCTCTTTTGATGAGAAGCTCCTGAATCCCAAGTTCTCTTGGAATGTTAAGAATTTTTCTACGTTGAAAAAGCATTTGTACAAATCAGGGAGTTTTTCAATGGGAGGAAGGAAATGGTGAGTATATATAGCAAAGCTCTGTCTTTGGACCAACAAATATATGTGTGTGTTTATGAATGTTAAGAAGTTCATTATTATAAATGTATATATGCAGGTTTATAGAACTATATCCGAAGGGCGATTCTAGAGCAGATGGCAAATGGTTGTCGGTTTATTTGTGTTTAGCTGATAGTGATAAACCGAAAGCAGATGAGAAGATTTTCATGCAAGGACATGTTGGAGTTTTAGACCCAGTTGGCTCAAAACACTTTTCACGCACAGGTATTTTCCAATTCCAAAACATAGCTACTTTTTTATATTTTGTTATCTAAATACTTTTTTATCCAAACACTTTTCACGCACATACCAGTTTATACAGTCTTGTACATGTACTGAGAAATTCATCTGGCGTTCGTCTCTCTCTAATAACCATGTTTCGCATTTTCTTTTCTTGCAGGGAAACGCTGGCACGCCGAATCCAGCAGAGGTTGGGGTTGGGTTCAGTTTTTGTGTTTAACTGAACTTCGGAAGCTTTACTTGGACAAGGAAGACACCTTGAAACTTGAGATCGAATTCGAAGTTGTTTCTGCTACCAAATACTCTCCCATTATCTAATCTCAGAATACTAATTATCTACCACTCAGTCATTTTTCTACTATGATTATTATACATTATACTATGAGACAAGGCCTTGTCGGAAGCACTGTGGCCTAGTGGTAAAGGGTTAAAAGCTTTTACACCAAGTTTGGGGTTCGATACCCAGGAAATGCACTTTTTTGCAGATTATTGATGCAAATTTATCAGCGCGCTGGTCTCGTAAGTGAAGAGTGAAGTTGTCCATCGTGTTACTGTGGTCAACTTTTTTAAAAAACAAACATTAATTCATTCATTTTCTATTTTATTCGTTGTTCATCCAAGTTTAGGGTTTTACAAAACAGAGACGTACTAAAGAGAGAGAAGCGAAGAGAACAACCATGAGACCTATCAAGTCAAAACGTCTTCATCACGATAAAATATCCACCGTAGAAAGGTCAAGCGATGTCAATATCCCTTTGGATCTAAGGGTGGATATACTAAAAAAATAGCTCCCCTCAAAATCTTTCGTGAGGTTACGATGCGTCTCAAAAGCAATGGTCATTTAAATATTATCAGCAACCGTAGAGACTAAGAGACTTCATGGACTCAATAGTGACTCGTTCTTTTCTTGATTATTCATGTCTTCATCAATGATCTGAAAACGAATGTTGAGGAAAGAGATTCATCAAGGCCAAAGAGAATCTTATGAACTCGGATATCTTCTTGTTCTTTCTCGATACCATGAAGTAACTTGTGGAAATTTTGTTTATTTAAATTATAAGATATTACTAGTATATATACACGAGTTGATCCTAGTTTAGATAGAATTAGATTCCCTACTATGATATAGATTAGCTAAATACATCATTATCCGTATCTAATTAGGAGTTATCTCAAGACAAGTCATCTTCTTAACCGTTTATATAAAACCCCAATCTATATCACAAGATTCCTCTGTAAACCTAATACTTATAGTTCTTAGGCTTTCACGTCGTTTGGGAAGAATGGGTTCAGGCTCATCAGTTTCTACAATTGTGAAAAACTGGAGAGAGCATCCTCCTTCCTCCTATTCTCTTAAGATTCACAACTTCTCACAGATTAATAATTCGACTACTGCCTCCTCTGATGGTGATAAATACCAATCTCGTCTATTCTCTTCTGGTGGATATAACTGGTACGTACGGATCGTGTTTTCAGTTAGCATAATAACAATTTGGAAATTTGATTTAGAGTATTGAGCTAATGCAATAATTATATTTATATATATATATATGTGTTGTTTATAAATTAAAACAGGAGATTGATCGTATATCTAAAAGGGAACAAAAAAGACAATGGGAGCGGTTTTATTTCCATGTACGTGGAAATAGACAGCAAAAGCTTGATGAAGTTAAATCCACCAACTGAAGTATTTGCGGAACTTCGTTTCTTTGTCTACAACAAGAAAGAAAACAACTACTTTACAATTCAAGGTCTACTACAATTCTCTCTCGCACTCTCTTTACACACACACACATATATATATATCTCAGCAATATATCTTGGGTATATTCAGATCTTCAAGTAAAGCCGTTCAGTGCACTCAAGACGGTGTGGGGATTGCAGCAAGTTCTTCCATCTAATACATTCAATAACCCTAAAAAAGGTTACATCTTTGAGGGAGATCAATGTGAGTTTGGTGTTGATGTCATCGTTGCTCCACCTCTTACGAATTGGGAAATACTCTCCTTTAATGAGAAACTTCCTCGTCCCAAGTTCTCTTGGACTGTAAAGAATTTTTCTATGTTGAAAGAGCATTTCTACAATTCAGACAGTTTTTCAAAGGGAGGAAGGAAATGGTGAGTATATATAGCAAAACTCTGGTTTTGGACCAACAAATATATGTGTAGATGAGTGTTAATAAGAAGTTCATAATTATAAATGTATATATGTAGGATTCTATGTCTGTATCCGACGGGAGATTCAAGAGCAGATGGCAAATGGTTATCGGTTTTTCTGTGTTTAGCTGATACTGATGGTGATAAACCGAAAGCAGATGAGAACATTTTCATGCAAGGACATGTGCGAGTTTTGGACCCACTTGGATCCAATCACGTTTCAGGCAAAAGTATACTTTATAAAACACCAGTTTAATTATACAGTCTTGTAGATCATGTACTGAGATATTCATTTGGCGTTCGTCTCTTTCTAATAATCATGTTTCGCGTTTTTAATTTCTTGCAGTGAGCGACTGGCACAATGAATCGAACACGGGTTGGGGTTGGGTAAAGTTTTTGTCTTTAACTCAACTTCGGAAGCGTTACTTGGACAAGGAAGACACGTTGAGACTTGAGATCGAATTCGAAGTTGTTTCTTCGACCAAACACTCTCCCATTACTATCTAACCTCTCTAGCTACTTTTTACTTTTTGAATTATTTTTCTACTATATATAGTTATAGTGTATGTGACAATGCTAGGTCTTGAACCTTTTTTTTTTTTTTTTTTAGCACTCGAGCTCTTTAGTTTCCATTATAATTAGGTTTTATAAGAAGGGAAAATATTTTTTATGTGTGGGTTTTTTCAATTTGTTCACAAAAAAGGGTTATTGCTCTAATCAATGTGGGTTCATATGAGTAATTATTTATAGTTTGGATGTTTTTCTTAGACTAAGTCCTATGTTTTCCCCAAAACATTATATGTTTATACATAAACATAAAATATCACATCTCTTCTCTTCTAATTTCTCCAGCTAAGCCATTCAAGTACCAAATTCTTTACCATCTTATGTTTTTTTTTTTTTTAAATGGTTAATTTTAGAATAACTATTGATAAAACATAAAAGATGAGGTTGTCTACACACAAAAATGTTATCATCTTACTATAAAGTTGAATCTTTCCAACATTCAACATTCAAATTTCCAAATCAGCTTGTAACATAAATACGGCGCCGTTTGTCCCAGGGCAGCGCAAACAATAATAATCGAATACGGTAGGGAACACGGTAAGGAGATCTTTGTTACAGAATCCAACGCTAAATAATCGTACTATCGCTCTAGATCCCGCCACGTAAGCTGACTCACTGTAGATCTAACACAACAGATGAACAAAAGTTTTTTTTTTTTTTTTTTTTTTATGAGTACAGTTGAGCCACGTCTCTCGTCCACAAACGCGAGTGTCGTTTTCGTTTTCCTCTCTCCATCATTTTTGTTTTGTTCGTTGATTTGTCAACTCAACACACAAACCCTAACGAGCCCAATCATCGATTTTTCTTTTTTCGTATTTGAAGAAGGAAAAAAATCTAACCTTTTGGAAGTTTCGTCGGTTAGATTTTCCTGGGAAACTTTCCTTTTGTGCTATTTTGCTCCGCATCATTTCCCCCATTTTGGGTCACTCGGGAAAACCCAGAAATTGCGTTTCGGTTGATGAAGAAGGATCTGAAAAGCTGAGATTAAGGAATTAGGGGATGATGGGTTTTGCTGTCTCCGACGAATTGCTTGGTACTGTCGCTCCGATTGTGGTCTATTGGCTGTATTCTGGGATTTACGTGGCGCTCTCGTCCCTCGAGAGCTACAGATTGCATTCCAAGGTCGAGGAAGAAGAGAAGAATCTCGTCTCGAAATCGTCCGTTGTGAAAGGGGTTCTTCTTCAACAGCTCGTTCAAGCTGTTGTCGCAATCCTCTTGTTCACGGTAAAGTTTCCAGTTTTCGACTTTGCTTGTTGAATCCAACTTCTTAAAAGTTTTAGTGGAAAGTGGTAACAAAACGGAATTAGGATGCATTTGGGGGGATTTCGCTATCTGATGCTGACGCTTATGGGTGTTTGTATGTATGTATGTATGTATGATGAAGATTTGTTTAGCAAAAAAGGGTTAGATCTTTTGGGTTGCTATAGTTTCCACCCAAAAAGAGAAATCTCCGTTAATGATTCGACCAAATATGCATATTCCTTGACCAGAATGCAAAGTTAAGAAGCTAGAAGAAATGGTTATCACGATCTGAAAGTTTAGATCATAGATTGGCTTTTCACTTGTTCCCATCCCAATAAGTTGAATAATTCTTGAATCTTTCGTGACTCTTAAACTAGACTGTTCATATCTCAGTGTTAGAAAGATAGTTAGAGGAAAGCATGAGTATAAATAGAATTTGTCCCTCTGTTCTTCAGTTGTACTCATATTCAGATAAAGAGTAGAGGAGGATAGCTTACAAATTGAGAAAACTATACTCAAATCAACAAACACAGCCTAGTAGTAATGAAAAGCCTTGATTCTGTTTACACGAATTTTTTTCTTTTTGTTGAATAGCAATCTCAACGAGCTATTATAGTAAATATCTTGGATTCTTTGTTTGCCTTCGTCATATCCTCAGTGCTTGTGGACTGCGTTGGTTTGATAGAAATGTCATTGATAAATTTGAATTTGCTTACTTGACATTGCCTTTGATAGATTGATTCATCAATACCTTGGAGTATCTTTCTTTTCTGTTCTCTTGAAGTATGCTTATCCACTGTCTATAACAGGTGACAGGAAGCGATGCTGAAGCAGACAAAGCTCGACAGTTTTCTCTTTTGGTCCTAGCAAGACAGTTTGTGACGGCCATGGTTATCCTCGACACATGGCAGTACTTCATGCATCGATACATGCACCACAACAAGTTCTTATACAAGCATATCCACTCTCAGCACCACCGTCTTATCGTGCCTTATGCCTATGGAGCTTTATACAACCATCCAGTGGAAGGTCTTATCTTGGATACGATCGGAGGCGCCTTGTCATTCCTAATCTCTGGTATGTCTCCGAGAACATCCATCTTCTTCTTCTCCTTCGCCACAATCAAAACCGTGGACGACCACTGCGGTCTCTGGCTTCCCGGAAACTTGTTCCACATGGTCTTCAAGAACAACTCGGCTTACCACGACGTGCATCATCAGCTATATGGAAGCAAATACAATTTCTCTCAGCCTTTCTTTGTCATGTGGGATCGGATTCTGGGAACTTACATGCCTTATTCGCTTGAGAAAAGAGAAGATGGAGGACTCGAAGCACGCCCGACCAAAGAATTCAAAGACGATTGATTTTCTTGGATTTTGGGGTTTGGGCAAAAATGTTATGTATCTACCTGAGGTTGGAGACAATGGATACTTTGTGTCGTGGAGATGCAGTTTTTAAATCAGAAACAGAACTGGTTTGCGTTTTGCCTTTTTTCACAGGGGAATCAGCTGGAGTTTGAGATTTGTATATACACATTATTGAGTTCTTGTTCTACTCTGGGTTATTTTGTTTTGCATGTATCATTTGTACAACAAAGTGGTTTTTATTTATTTATTTATTTATCTACAAGTTTTTTTTTTCGAAAGATGTGAGTTAAATTCACATGAAACATCGTCGTTACATATTAGTAATGCACACAATTTTGGAAGCCCATCTCTTCAGTACGTCTCTGTTTATTAAATCACAATCAGGACATAATGTGAAAGGTTATGTTTTAATATCGGTTAATTGGCAAGTTACACCCACAGAAACTATAATTGTCGAACTTTGAAAATATCATTTTCTAAAAAATTTAGTCAAGACTAGACTGGATTCAATCAGAATCAACTGGTTAGATCTACTGAATTTCAAACTTCGTCATCATCTTTTTCAAGACAGAACATTATGCTATTTTACCTCGTGAAACTCTAACGAAAAAATATTATAGCATGGAAATGGTAGAAAAGGAATTGACTTTGGTGTATTATAAATGTGTATCTGGAAATTAGATAAGCTTTATACTAACAGTCATATTGTTTAAGTTTCTGTCATCCACGTACTCTTGTCAAGTCTTTGAACTAGCTGGATGTATTCAATGTGCCAAATGGGCTATTCCTAGTGTACATGCTGCTTCTGCAAAGTCAAAAAAATGTTGCTCTATTTACGTAGGCTCAGGGAGAAGCTCAACAATTTAATTGACTTAACCTTTTCTGCACTGCCACCGCACACGATTATCTAGACTCAAACTCTGAGAGTTGTATGAATAGGCAGAAGGTTTGGAGGCCGTTTGACAACTAGCATTTAATGCCCTCCGCAAAGCTAGAGTTTCAGTCACATTGAGTCTAGACTTTCAGACACAAACCATGAAAGTATCTAATTTTGCAAATATTTAAATTTTTTTAATGTATGAATATATATTATTGCTGAGAAAACTTTATTTATTAAAATTTATATAACAACTTATATTAACTTTAGAAAAAAAAGTTAAAAAAAAAGAAAAAAAAAGTATCTGAAATTGCAAATCCAAATGACAAATCGTGATTTCATATTTTGTTGGTGGGATTGAGAAAATGCTCTTATTCCAAGAGATTTAGACCCTTTCTGAAATTACTGTGTTATTCATCTCTTTAAAGGTAGAAATTGTTGCAGTGAACAAAAATCTCAATCTCGACACTACCTATCGTCTCAAAGTTATTCCTATGGGATAATAAAATTTGCCATAGGATTAAGTAATGGGTAATCTTAGAGACATTATTAATGTTTGTACATTATGTTTGCAAAGATAGATGTATGGGTGTTTGTGTCAAAGATTTTCAACTTTGACTCTTAAAACGTTTACATTTACATTTCTTTTAAACAACTGACTAAAAGATAAAGTGCCAACAAGGGAAAATAAAGCTATAAGATCAAGTATACACGTTTGGGAAGTAATAAACTAACTTTGGGTCAACAAAAAAAATTGAAGAGACAAGATGGGTATTAACCGAGGAAACTTGGCTATATGTGATCTCGTTGATTTTGATGTATTCCTAGAATTTGGTCTATATTTCGATCTTGTTTAATGTTGGTAGCAAAAAAAAAAAAATTAATAGCTACAATGGAGTCCGGACCAGCACAAATGTAGTACAAAAATTTGGTGTGAAAATGATGGAAATTAGCTATAGAATACCGTTTGGTTGATCCACAATGCATGGTCTATTTAACTATTCAACCTCTTGAATTATTGTTCGAAAAAAAAAACTCTTGATAAAATGTAATTGACATCATTTGTTTGATACTCCCTCTGTTTTATAATAAGTATTATTTTGGGAAAATGTATCTACATTATAATTGAATGTATCTGAATGTGTTTTGAGGTTAATACATCCAGTTATAATGCAGATACATTTTCCCAAAATAACATTTATTATGAAACAGAGGAAGTAACCGTTAACAGTACATAAAAACCAATTTACAAGTTAATAAACAACCCAGCGTTATAAAAAAAAGTTAATTAACATCACTTTCAAATTATATTATAGGTCTCGACTGTTACTTTAAAGTTTCCTTTATTTAGCTACACAATCCAATTCTAAAGTAATGATGCTTTTGGTTCGCTCACATAAATTAAAAAATAATTAATTTTTAGCTAAATATTTTTCAATTACTATTAACCAATAATAATTCAATAATTCAAATGTTTTTAATTAATATTTCTTGAAATTTACAATTTGTTAATATTACTAACAAAAATCACATTTAAAATTTTAAAATATCAATTTCTGTGAAAAAAAATGAGAACATCATTATTTTAGAGATGGTGGGAATATATATTAATTACTATTTGATGGTACTTGACTACTTTTATAGTGAAAAGAAAATAAAGAAAACAAATGGTTATTGTAAAATTTGAAACCTCAACCAGATTTTACTAAAAGCAAGACACTGTTGAGAAATTCTATACTTTGGTATTCGATATTTTGACAAAACCCACACAAAAATGAGAAAAGGGAAAATAACAAAAACTAGAGCAGATTTGACTTTTGCCTTGCAAACGTTTCACGCGCCCTTTTGTGAATTTGTTCTTTAGTTTGTCATATGTAATTAACTGCATTAGTTATACTATTAAATTATGTTCACCAAGTCTCAAAATTCAATATGTTCATGAAGCCTCTCTTTAAATAGACTGATTTACGATTGAGTTTCAATATAATCTTAACCAATATATTTTGTGTGTTCGGGTTAAGCTGTTCCTCGTCCGTAACATCGGTTTTGGTGGACTATCGAAGTGACCACTTTGGAACTAACCAAGATGAGTTCCTACAAATATTTAATAAAAGATTCGTCCCTTCAACTACATTTCGGATATTATCTTTTTATCATATGAATACAGTCAAATAAGGTATCGGAAGTTAAAATTTTGTTTATCCTCTTGATAACTTTATGACGTTTAAAATCAAAGTGAGGTAAAAATTAGTTTAAGAATGAAATTTGTTTAACAGCGGTTTCACTCAAACTACTACACACACACACAAATTAACTACACGTCAAAGCTCACAAAAATTTAACTGAGATATTTCTAAAATGTTAATTAATGTAAATGCCCTACACCAGTAAAGTAACCAAGAAAGATCCGGTTCATATATCTGAGTATCTGACAAGACCACAAAAGTGTAAAACTGTTAACATTCCATAGTCAAATCTATCACACGTTGGCTTTGTCTTTAAACTGATCAAAACTTAATTTTGCCATTTCCTGACAGAAATCAGTGGGAATAGAATAGAAACGTTCGGAATTTGAGAAACAGTTCTTTTATTTTTTACTTATTGAATTTTCATCAAAACATTAACTAGAACCGCAATTTATTTGACTTAATGCTATTTTAATTCTACTTGCGAATCTTTTGGTTCGCATCGGTCTAGAAAATTAAACACATGTCTTTCCTAAAGTTAATGTATATAAACTAATCACATATTTTTCGTAAAGTTAATTTCTAACACATTTTAATTAGAAAAATTGCTCAAAATCTTCAAATAGTTTGAGACTGCGTGACAAACATATGTACACAAGTATGCATTTCATGTAAGACGCATCAGGCAGTGTATTTACTCGACAAACAAGTACTAATAGATAGGGTCAACTCACACTTCTTCTGTTTGATAAAAATTAGATAAATATTTGATAGAAATTACAAGTTATGTCAGTGAAAAAAGAAGGGTATATAACTACGTCATCCCATAGTAGGCTATACAGTCTAGCTAGTTAACAACTACTTCTCTTATGTATATAAATGTGTTTATCTGGAAAACGTTTTTCATTTTTTTCAAGAACGACACTCTTACCATACCATACCATATCATATTTTATAAACAAATACTCCAAACAATAAATGTAAAAGTTAAAACATATATGACGAATTAATATCCCAAGACACTCATAAAGTTTTTTTTGTCTAGACTCTTGTAAATGCATGGACTTACACTTTAACTTACAAACAAACTCTCTCTCCATTATGATTTGATTTTTAATTTATGGAAGTCAGCAGAAAAGGCGGCTGATCCTTCGGAGCCAGACCCCTCGCAGGGCAGCATATATTGTGTTCAAATTTAGCAAAGAAACTTCACTCTTACCAACTCCCTCTCTCTCTCTTTTTTTTTCCATTTACGGTTAAAAACTTTCTTATTGTTCTTCTAACCTATAATAGTATCTCTTTTAAGTTTAAGCTTGGTTTCTTTAAGTTATACTAGAGGTTTTTTAAAAATGAATTTTAAACTTTCAGTAATACTATTGTACGTATATGGAAGAGAATAACAAAGAAGCTAAGAAAATGGAAGATGTGTTGATGCCTGGATTTAGGTTCCATCCAACGGACGAAGAGCTCGTGAGTTTCTATCTAAAGCGGAAGGTTGAGCATCGCCCACTCTCCATCAAGCTCATTACACAGCTCGATATCTACAAATATGACCCATGGGATCTTCCAAGTACAGTCTCTCTCTCTCTCCTTTTTTATAATAATTAACTAAGACCCAAATATAGTTTTGTTTTCACGATCTCCATCTCCTTTTCAAAAATTCAAAACCCTAATAAAACTAATTAGCATTTAATAAAATGTGTTTGATGCATATGGTAGAGTTTGCGATGACGGGAGAGAAAGAATGGTACTTCTACTGTCCAAGAGATAGAAAGTATAGGAACAGCACGAGGCCGAACAGAGTGACTGGTGCTGGATTCTGGAAAGCCACGGGAACGGACAAGCCGATACACTCTTCGGACGGAAGCAAATGCATTGGTCTGAGGAAGTCACTTGTGTTTTACAAAGGAAGAGCTGCTAAAGGGATTAAGACAGATTGGATGATGCATGAGTTTCGCTTGCCTTCTGCGTCTTCACATACACTCTTTGATTCTCATGTCTCGCCCAACGTAAGCAATATCTTTAATAATGCTCTTCACGCTATTACTGGTTAAGCTATTTTAGCATTTTGGTTATAGCTAGCTTATATAAGCTTATATATTTAGAAGATTTAAATAAAGACATGTTCATAATGATTTAACCCCAAAAAAAAAAAATGGCTGTTGATATTGTGTTTAGAAAATCATATTTAAGGTAAAACAATGAAACAATGATTAAATAACATGTTTGTGTATTGGCTAAATAATTTTTGAATATAAGTTCTTATGAAATTGTGGAATTGCAGGATATGAGCAAGTCTTGTTTTGTTGACCAAAAAAATCTTAATGTAAATAGTTATCTTTTGTTTTCTTGTCAACTGGTTATTTATTTAATTAATTGGTCTAATTAATATTTTATATAAATGTGGAATTGCAGGAGTCATGGGCCATATGCAGAATCTTAAAGAGGACAAACACAACGGCTCTTAGAGCAGTCTCACACTCCTTTGTTTCCTCATTACCACAAGAGGAAACAACCGATACAGAACCCTACGAAAAAACATCAAACACATCCCAAATTTCCTCAGACAAGATCATGAAAAATAGTTCTTGCTCTAAATTTTACTCTGAAGAAGATATGAATGTGGCACAACGACCACATTCATATCTTGATGATAAAGAAGCTACCAAGACTAGTACTTGTACAACTACTAGTCCATTTTCTTACTTGGGATTCACTTCCTCCGACGATCGTGGTCCGTGTCTAGACCAACAATACCTTAGAAGCCTCTTGCTTGCCTCACAAGAAACACAACCTCCTCAGTTTCCAAAGTTCATCAACAACAACGATATGATCTCTTCGTTTCTGCTAAACATGTCATCATCAGATTCATCGTTTTTGGGAGAAAACACAAACCATTTAGACTCAAACATCGACCTCACTAGTGGAATTTGGGCGCAAGAGAAGTGTCCTGCTCTTGTGAGTCTGCCGCAAGAGTACCATGAGACAGGTTTTGAAGGGCACGTGGATGATGCAAATGAAGATCATCATCAAGCTTTCTGTCACACATATAACTTTGGCGACTTATCTTCAGCTTCAACTATTGTTGGAGACCAACATCAAAATCAGAAGCATCACAACTTGATGGAGAGTTACTATTCCTCACTCGATTAATGACGAATTGCCTACTTGATTACAAAGTATTTCGATAGTTAGTTGTATCAGCACAGCGCTCTTGCTTTTTTGGATTGTTCTTTCAAATTAGTATGTTCACACAAAAGATTTCTTCTTTTTGTGTTTATACAATTTTTCCTAGTCATTCGTTATTAGGGAGACGAATGATCAAGTTGGCTTTTCTGTATAAGCGACTTGATAATAGACTCTGTTTTAGACTCTGTTTTTTTCATAATTAGTTCCTACAAACTTGGAAACACTAAAACAACTAAACAACAAAGGAAGCCTGAAAGAAAACAGGAGACTTCGGTTACTTGACTTTGTCTTGATACTTGGAGTTAGCCTTCCTCTCGCGAGTTGACCTGCGAACTTTCTCAACAGCTTCAGTCTCGTCATGTGCTTCTTCTTCACCTTCAGCTTCAACTTCTTCTTCTACTAGTCGGCGGATGCAAATTTCCATCTTCAACGCATCACACTGACCCAAGAAATAGTAAGGAACTAACATAAAGTCTTTCTCAGGAGTTTCCAAGCTCACTTTCTGAATCCTATTCACCTCTTCCAATCCAAACGACATAGTTTTACCTCCATACAAGCAAGATAGATTACAAGAGAACTCCCCAACACCTTGAGCACAAGGTGCTACACAGTTCACAGTCACATACAATCCTTGCGTCTCCTTAAAACATTGAACCACAACCAAAGGACCATCGTCTCTTCTAGACTCCTGAAGTACCAAAATCTTATCGCTGATGACAAGCCACGCGTTGCTTGCACTGCCACACGTGAAACGTTCCAAAGCCTCACTGTGGTTAGCCTCGTAGTGACGGTAGAGATCCTTGGCCACGCCGGTGTAGTTGCAGCCCGGTGCAGGGCAATAACACAGAGCAAAACCGCATTTCTTCTCGTGGACTGATTCTCTGCCGTAAGAGAACTTCTCTGTGCAGCCATGTTTTGCGTTTGGACATGGGACAATGATTGCTTCCACAACTCTCTCCATTATCCTACATCGATAGTTACCAATGGGCAATGTGCAGGCAGGACATTTTCTCCTCAGTTTATTACAGCAGGACGAACAAGCTATATGTCCATTGTCACACTGAGATGCAAAAGAAAACAAAAAATCCATAAAAGATCGTTACATTTTGTAAAGGGTATTCATAAATATGAGAACTTTGATAACAAATCAACGAAATTAACCAATATATAAGCTTAAACCAATCTAAAGTACAAACATTTTTCCTCCAGATCATCATCCAGAAGCAGAAACCAACCATGCGATTGTTAACAAGGAAGAAGGAGAAGTACCTGAAAGATAGGAATCGTCAGTGCGTGGCAGCAAACGGGACAATCGAGAAGATCCAGATCAAACAGCGTCCCAGATTTTACCTCCGTTATCACCTCATCACCGTCTACATTCCGATTTTCAGTCGCCGTTGTTCCTCCGCCATTCTCGCCTTCTTCTACTACGGGCTCTGCTTCGCCATCAGCAAAGGAGTCAAGTCGCCGTTGCCTCTTTCGACGGCTGCTCGACGCTTCTCCGGCGAGTGCTTGCTCGGCTTTCGAGTTTCTTCTCGTCATGCCTAACGAAACTGCGATTCACTTCGGTTGTAGAAAACTAATTGTACTCGGTAGAACTGAGCTTTTTTTTATTACACACCTTTTAAGCTTCTGCTAATTTTTAACCTTTCAAATTCATACCAATAAAAATTTACAGTTCAAATTTATCAGGAAATACTATATATACGGACATATTCAATGTACTTAAGCTTTGATTGCCAATCAGTTTCCTAAGCTAGTTAGAGTCGTAAGTATTATTAACATAACAAAGAAGCTTTGGGCATGGTAAGAGAAGAAACGTGAAATGTGTGAACACAACAATAAAAACGAGAAACCAAAACTGAAAGGGAGCGAAATGTCGACAGAGTCAAGACGGAAAACGAATACAAAAAGCTTAAGAATTTTTTTGGATGAGTACACAAATTGTTTCTCCCAAACTCTGCAACCAGAACTATTCGCTAGAACAGAGCCATAAGGCTTTTTCTTTTAATAAAAAAAACTAACAGAGGATCTAGCTCTTGGGAGCAACCTTCTCCTTTGCCTTTTGGAGCTTCAATACCTTCTTCACAATCTTTTGCTCCTCCACAAGGAATGCACGGATGATTCTGTAACACAACATAAGAGACCAGTTTAGATTTTGCAGGTCATGTTTGCAGTAAAAGAGCAAAACTTTATTACATAGAGGAGCTCAAGAACAAACCTTTCTCTAACAGCAGAAGCGGACAAAACTCCACCGTAAGCACGGTTCACGGTTCTCCTGTTTCTGGATAATCGAGACCTCTTGTACTCAGCAGGCCTCAAGTGAGGGATCTATAGAAACATAGAAACATGAGTTCGATGCAGAGGAAACTACAATCAAACATGAATGAAAGTGACGAAACATATTCTACAACTAGGAATAAACCCAGTGGAAATGCGTATTGCTTCTAAATATTGACAATGTCATACAGACAATGAACAAATTTCAAGATGATAAGATTTCTGCCACCAAGTATAACAGAGATTTCCTTAGAAACAAAAGAAAGGAGAAAACTCAAAAAAGACAAGGCGGCACTAAATCTAGCTTATGATAAAGTTATGTCCTGGTGTGGATTCATCTAACCAGCACAAGACCGTCAATAAGCACGAAAGAAATCAACCTAGCGTAGAAACCAATCTAGCACATTCGCATCTATCAATAAGGACGAAGAAATCAAACCAACCTAGAGTAGAAAACAATCTAGTACATTTGCATTTATCAATACTATCAACTCAAAGAATCAATCAGTTTATCATCTTGTAATTTGGGTAAATCAGTGATAAAACAAAGCAAACAAACACAAGGCGAAATAGGTAACAACATTAATAGTAAACTCTTAATCCCCAAATCAGAGTTATATATGAATCAAAAGACTTACACCCTGAATACGCTTGCCGGTAACGGGGCATTTCGGTCCACTGGCTCTCTTCTTCGTGGTCTGGTAAGTCAATTTACCACCTGCAAATCAAGCAAGCAACGGAAAAAATCAAGATTTGAAGATACATTTACAAGATCCTATAGATCAATGGAGACAGATTTGGATTAACCGAATGGGTTTCTGGAGTAGACGGAGAAAACAGACCTGGGGTTTTGACGATCCTGTGCTGGTTAGACTTGGTGGCGTAGCTGTGACGCGAACGGTAAACAAGACGCTGCACCATTTTCGCTTCTCTTGCTCACACCCTCCTCTCTCTCTCTCTCAACTAGGGTTTTATCCTCAGCTTGACGGAGCAGAGAAGAGGCTTAATAACCTAAATATCTATATAAAGGCCTTTCTACTTCCAAACACCCTAATGCCCTAGATTGGACGGATCAGATCATATCTTAGAGCATAGTAATCAACGGACGAGATATTTCAGTATACGGGCTTGTTGGGCTTATATAATAATCCATCTTATTTATTTACACAACTCACTATATTCACGAGATAGATTATTAAGCCCATATATTATCCAGCCCAAGGCCCTGTTAAATTTGAGTTTGACTTATCAGGAGTAAACCACTTTATTATTACATTTTTAACAGTTTGTTTCTTCCCTTTGTTAAATGGTTGGGATTTTCAGATTTTGTTGTACAGTCAGGAGGCTGAAGATTCAAGAAAAGTGAATTCCTTTATATTGAATTTTGAACTTTGATGTATAAATAAATTAAAATCAACATGTCTTTGTGAGCATCAGTATGATATATTATACAGTATAAGGTGTCTACAACTATAACCAAATTAGTTTCTTTTCTTTTGAGCGTTTGTTTTCAACCACAAAACAACATTCACTAGCTCTACGTTCTTTTCTCAGGAACAATGTACAAAAAGCAATCTTCCTGGATCTGATTTTGAAGCCAATTGCATTCAAACATTTATGATCTAATCTATAAGCAGAGAGAAACTACTCAACAAGGTAACAATGAGAAAGATGGCTCCATGTGAATCCTCCGACCGTTGAAGCTGATCCTGTTTAGTTTCTCCCTACACCAAACCAACTTCTCTGTCGTGAGCTTCGACATGTTCATCACTCTCGAAACAAGTCTCAGTTCGATTTGAGCTATCAGTAACTCATCCTTCACCACACAACCACTACTCTTTGACTCATTCAACTTCAACTTTTTCACTATGCAGCTTTGGCTTCTCAGTATTTCCTTTATCTTCTTCTCCTTCTGCACATATATAGATGCCAAGGAACATGGTCTTGAGTTAGAGGAAATAATGAAAGAAGAATTAAACACAAAATAAAAGAAGAATTAAATACCTTTTGGAGATGTGTTCTGATATCTGTCAAGAGCTCAAGGTCTAGAGGATCTTGTGGAGAGACTTGTGTTTGGTGAGAAACTTTCATCACTGAACTAAACTCATCTTTGTCTGCACAAAGAAACTCCCAGAAAACACACATAGATTCTCTGATAATCTCTCTTAACGTTTCAGTCTTTACCGCGAATTCCCCTTCGTTTCTACATTTCTTATTACTCTTCGAGGAACGATCATCTGAAAACATTTTGGTATTAGCAAAATAGAAGATTCAGAATAAACTGAATGATGATGAAAACAAACATATTTTTTTTGTTACCTCTGACAAGTGGAATCTGAAGGAAATTATGAAAATGGCGACGGTTCTTTAAGTAAGTCTCAACTCTAGAAGAGTTTTGAAATGGTTCGTTCTCCACAAACCGTTGAATCAGAACTTGGAAAAGCTGAAACTCTCCAGCTACTAGATTGTATTGATAAGCAGATGAAACCTGATCAGAATCAAATTCCAAGACTTTGGTGTATTGCCAACGAAGCATCTCCCACGAGATACAGATTTGGCCTACGTAGACAGTCTCAAAGTCTCTGCTCGCTTCTTTCACAAGTCTCTCGATCGGATCACATTCCAGCTTATGTTTCTTGAATGGCCAAAGATTCTGATACAGAGTCGACTTTGACGCTTTAACTGTGTTTTTGCTTGGTTTAGATGAATCTTTTATCTTTAGCAAACCTGTTAAAATCAGAATCCAATATGTTAGCCATAGACCTATTGTAATTTGAGTAGTTGAGACAATATTTAAGAAGGAAAGAGACATTCGTCAACCATATGACCTCACAATCAGACAGAAGTTAAAGATTCTGAAGAGATGTCATTGCTAATATAGTAATATATGTAACAGTCTGCATAATTTGTCTTCACATTGATTAAAAAAATTGGAATCATGATAAAGAAATGAACTTACTGATGGAATGCATTGTCTGAGAATCGATGACATCGAGTTTTCGCATTTTGACCGCATAGTTCTTGTAAACCTTGTGAATCTCAGCGATCCTGTCTTTGAGCTGATCTGGTTTTGGTTCGATCTTGAGTGGTTTCAGCTCTTCTAATGGAGTCTCTGATTCCTCAAGAATGGTACACAAACCTCCTGTTCTCGCTGTCCTTAGCTCTGTTTTCAACCTCTCGATCACATCACTGTGCTCAAACTCATCGTCATCTTCCTCATCTGAATATAAACCCTCATCAAAACCATTCACCTCTTGTTCTTCAAAACCCATGTTAAACTCTTCTTCCCTCTGCATAAAACCCGCTTCTTCGTCTTCTTCTCCATAAGAAATCTGGAAACTTGGGTTGAGTTCTATAAACCCATCATCGTCGAACAAGTTTTCTTCAGCACCAACAAAACTCTCGTGAGCTAATAATCCTTTTAAAACACCACAACTCATAAACTCGTAAACCAACATCTCTTCCTTCACGTGTTCCTTTACGAAAAAAACTTCTGATTGTGATTTCTCCAACTTGTTCTCAACTACAAACGGTTTCTCAGAAACGATGGAACTCGTGTTCGATTCATCTGAGAAAGTCACCATCTTCTTTTCCTGAATAACAAGACCGTAATCATGGACAATAAAGCAAACAGCTTTAGGCTCTTCTACAAAACCAACGATGCTCTTGTCGGAGAAAAAATCGCATCTTTTGCTGATCGAAACATGGAAGATCGAACTTTTATCTACATCGTGGAAACCAATTTGCTTCTGGTCTCCGTAAACAGAGGAATCGTTTTGGTTGTTGTGTTTCTTAACCACGACCAAGCTTGTCCCTTTGTCTGAATTAACTCTATGAGAATTTAAAAAAACAAACCCATTAATTTAAATTAGAAGATTACAAGTAAGAAGAAAAAGGAAAGAAGCAAAAAACGTACCTGAAGAAGAAGGAAGTAACAGAGTCGAGAGAGAAGAAGAAGAAGAGATTACAGAGAGAAACCCAGAAAGCATCGAGAACTGTGAAAGTGAAAGTGTTTTTTCCGTACATAAACTGCTTCAAACCAAAACTTTTAGTCTTGGAGAAATCGAAGTAAGTCTTCGTCGTAACAAAATTCCCGTTGAATCTCATCATCATCTCGCTAATTTCAACGCGTTTTTGTGGTTAAAACTTTAAAAGTAAACGAAAATGTTTTGTTTTTTTTTTCTTTTCTTTTCTTTGAAGTGTGCGAGCACATGATTAATGATTTTTCTCCATAGAAAAAAAAAATACAAGACTTTTGTCAAAAACTCTCACTATTAGAGAAGAAGACGAAAGTGGTGAGAGTCATTCGAGAAAAGAAAAAACGAGAAATCAATGGAATCAGGTGCGAGATTTGTGGATGTGAAATTATCTCGCCATTACACGGCAAACTCCATTCACGGACCCTTCAATATGAAATTTTAAAAAAAAAAAATCCCTTTTTTTGGAATAATGAGAAGAAAATAAAAACAAATGTTTTCTGCTTAAAATGTCCGAAAGGGCAGAGAAGAGAATAAAGTGTTTTTTTTTCTTTCTCGGTCAATACGTTACTAATCGAAATTCATTATTCGAATTAAAAAAAATCGTTTTATTTTTAAATTTTTTACCTCGGAGAATGAACACTGTTCAGTATGGGAAAACTCAATAGTCAAAATATGCATTGCTTTTCGGGTTCTTCTCCATTTGTCACTTTGCTTCAAACATTCATTGGTTCACATGCCCCTTTTTCTCTTGGAGTTTCAACTATTTATTTTGTTAAGAGTCATTATAAGATATTTTCCTTTTTTAATTTAAAACCATCCTAAACCCTCAATTTATTTGATAAAATTGCAGATTGTACACGTTTAGGGGACCAACAGAAACTATTAGCAATTTTTTAGTTATGTGTAGCTTTCTGGTGGACACTTGTAGGTGTAACAATGGGTCCTGCTATGCTGACATAACTGCGTGCGAGCTAGGCGTTTCGACCGTCCAAAGACCAAACATGGGCAAAGTCATGGTCCAAAAATGTAATTAATTGACAATGTACTTGGCAGATGCAGGATTTTATGTTTTTTCGATATTCCATTTTAATTTCGATGTGACTAGTTTATTTATCATTTGTGTGAAGCAAATTAATTATCATTTTTGGGTTGTTCTCATTTTTTCAACGTGCAATGGCCAATGGAGATGCAGAGCTACACGTGTTCTCAATAGACACATACCAGACCAGTGATGTTGACGTATCCTCAGTTAACCCAAACCAGCCAGTACCAAGTTCTTTATCAAACAGATAAGTCTTGTAGTAGACTAATGGGTCAAGTAAAAATATTCAAGCCCAATAACCCAATACAGAATTTTAAAACCACTGCAGCCCAAAATCTCTGTAACCCTACTAGAGTTTCTCAAACAGAGTTGGAGAAAATCTCTGCTTTCTCCACATATAATATAACAGATGTTCAATTTATAAAAGTAATCATAATTACTCAAAGATAAAAACACATATTGAATCAATCTGAAAATTTCGAAACTGAACTAATTAGAGAGAGAGAGAGAGAGAGAGAGAGAGAGAGAGCACCGAACCTCTTCTCCAACAAGATCAATCTCAGGACTGAAGACATGCAGCTTCGTTTCAACAGGTTGCTGCTTCAACAGGTTGAAAGCCTCTTCCAATGTCTTAGCCTCAATCACTCGTCCTATCATGGGAACACGAGGAATGAGAGAAGCAAACGGAGGAGGCTTGTGCACGCATCCCATCCTTTTCGGTAACCCATCTTTGAAGGCACAGTCCAAGCAGTCTTTCAGAGTCAGCATGCGGCGTCGTTGATCAAACTCTCTCTGTTCGGATTCGGACTTGGGAGAAGCGATCTCCACCAAGTACTCAACGCAGTCTTGGATGGTCAAGTTGGAGCGTTGTTGAGCCATTTCTTCCTCGCTCTTGGGACCAGCGTTGTCCACCAGATACTGAGATGAGTACTCAGTGTACTCACTATCCAGCTTGTGTATGACCCGAGCAGAGCTTGTCAGGCAAACCGCTATCATAGCCGCTCTTTCAGATGGATCTGCAAAGTCCAAAGACAAAAAACACAAACCCTAATCAAACGCATGTACATTATTGTGCATACTCATTTCATTTTATTCTTTCGATCTGAAACATGTTTTATAACCATTTTCTCTAATGACACAGCGAAGAAAGTGATTTCAAAAAGTTACCATGCTCTTCTTGGGCATTCATTGCTCGTTCGCATTCTGGATGCAAGTCTCGAGACATCTTCCTCAGTTATTTTATCCCTCTGCAAAAAAATCTGAAATTTCACAACAAAAATTTAGCTTTGAGTCCTGTAAAAGCGAATCAAAGAGAAGCATTTTTCAGAAAGTCATCAACTTTTTCTTAAGAGGCGTTTCTGAAAGAAAGAAAAAAGCACATCTTTTCAGTGAAAAAATGGTTTCAAGTTCGAAATCGCCGAGCGAGAAGATAAAAGATAGCGTCTTTAATAAATGATAACCAACTTAGAGAAGGATCCATCCAAGAAAAACAAAAAGTAAAACCCTAAAACGTGACTAAAAGTTCAGCATTGTTCAAAGGCCAAGTCACAAGCAGAAAATCCTTAGAAAAGCTAAAGCAAGCTAAACAGATCTAACAGAGAAACACAGTAAGAAAGAAAGTGGAGAAAGTTATCGGAGACCGACGAAGACAAAAAACAAAGGGGCTGAATCAGAGAAGTTGTGGGAGTGACTGTCACTAAATCGCCTTTGTGTAGTATTTATAGAAGTTCTAGAAAACCCTTGTCCAAGCTCTCCTTTTTTCCTTTTTCTTCTTTTTTTGGATCAACCCGAGAGTGCCAAATGTTATTTTATCTGGTTCAGTATCTTTTGTTTATGTTTTTTTTTTTAATTTGTCAAGGTTTCTTCGGATTGTGACGATTGGGATTTGGGGTCATTAAAGAAATAAAATGTTCTCTATCTTTTCAATAATTGTGATAGTGTAAACTTCGATTTTACATGATTGTCAACAAAATTTATATTTTTTAAGATGGTATTATCATAGATAATCATAGTCTGGCTCGGTTTAGGGTCCAATTACTTTTATAAAATTGTAAAACAGGACCCAAATATATGAAAATATCATATAATGTTGAACTTTTTTATTTGGGCTCAGACAAGGCCCACTTTTACATTGAGACGGGCTTGATCATACTGCAGGCTTAATTCAGCAAGAACAGCCATATATATAGCTAGAAGCGAGAAGGAATTAACGACCTAATTAAGACGAAGGTCCGTCATCACATAGCTACAAATCAACGAAGGATCTTACCCCATGAAATTCGCGTGATACATTCATGTCTAACGGATCAAATTATATTCAGTACTATACATTGCTACTTATATCAACAAAACAATGGTGAACTTTCCATTTTTTTCGATAATATGTTGTAAATTTCATAGCGATTTGGCAACAATTATTCTGAATTGGTAACTAATAATGGATTATTGACGGATTTGCTCATTGTTACTAGGTCGGTGGGCCTTCGTTATCCATCGTTACGTTAATGAGTCATTACATTGTTTTCTTGGTAGTGTGTGTAAGATCCATTTATTAAAAGAAAATGATATATACATTCGTTAATTGTACCAATATGAGATATTGGATTGTCAAATTGGAATCTTGATTAGTAGCACGCAAATTATTCACTTATATAAGCACAGACAGGGATTCCAATTTATGTATATATTGCGTATTATTTATCCCCAAAAAATATATTGTTATAATACAAATGTTTTGTACATCAACTATCAATATAAATGCATGCAAATTAGTCGTCTACGGACACTCTTGACATACGTATTGGTCTGTCTGGTATGGACCGTACTGGCTTGTCTTTCTTCAGGCTATATGCTTTCGTTTCGTACCTGTGCTGGGATGTTTTTGTCTTCAGCACTGAGCTTAATTAGACCATTTAGTTTTTGTGAGAAAATAAGAATAAAACGTATTTTTATTCTCATTGGACAAGCGGATCAGTGATGGAGAAAGAGCCATGTAATTTAATAATCGTAACATTTGTATTATTCTTAATTAGGATAAGTAAGCGAGATTGCTGTTACCCGAAGCTTATCCTTAAATGGAAAGACGAGAAGAAAAGAGATAAGCCCGCATTTTAATAATAACTTTATAATATACTAATATAAATCAACAAATGTGCCGCCCAGATGACCTAATTATATTCGGCCACGCCATAGTTTGTTGCATCCTTAATGACCACGTCGTATCTCATAATTAAGCAAATTCTACTTGCTTTATCTTAAAGTTCAGGAGATTATTTCCAATAATACCCGAAGATAACATTGAATAATATAGCAAAAGTTTTCTAATATAATTAAAAACAAAAATAAACGAATCTTTTGATTTTCTTGATCGATTATATATGAACTTACTATAATTAGAATGGTGGATTTTTTTTTTCCAGTTTAACCTCTCCGATTAAAAGTTATTTATTTTATTACTAAACCCATTACGATCTCTGAACATCTCGCTGTCAAACAAACAAAAAAAGAGTAAGAAACGGCAAAGATCAATAACATTTTTAAACTCTCATATATATCATGTTCGATTACATGTTAGAACTTACTATTATAAGATCTAAAACGGCTAATTAATGCTCATATTTCCCCAGATTAAGTATCCTAATTTGCTTAACAAAAGCTTCATTTTTCTCCTTAAGAAGACGAAGATCCATTAACGTTATCTCCTTCATCGCCGCCATTGTTGCAGCTGTGAGTGTTCAAACAAAGAAGACGATGATGATCCATCGACGAGATCTCTCTGTTCTTCCCGTTGATAAGTGAATACTTATTATTATGCATCCATACTTTAAGAACTCCTCTCTCAATCCCAATCTCGCTACAGAACTCTCTCACCGACTTTTCATCACAGCCGTTGATCTTCCACCCTGCTTTCTCGGCGAAAGCTCTCATCTTTATCTTCTGCTCCGGCGTGAATCTGGTCCTCGTCCGTTTCCTCATTGCTCCTCGTGAGCTGTTCTCCGATCTTACAGCCGCTGGATCTTGATCCGACGGTCCAGGGAAGCCGGAGCTGAGAGAGAGAAGCACGTGATGTGGAGCTGAGGTGTAGTAAGAGCAAGGCACAGGAGAAGCCACGTGGTGAAGCGACGCAGACGGCGGAGATTCCGTGCCGGAGGGAGATGAAGTGGGATGCACGGGGAGAAAAGTGAGATGGTCGGAAGGGTCACGGCGGTGGAAATTACGGTGGCAGCCACAAGCGGCGCACCGGAGAGAGGAAGGGTCGGCGGGAGTGGCCGTGGGACTCGGCATAAACTCACCGCAGCCGTCGAGCGCATGGCCGCCGAGGTTAGCCGCGTGGTTTTTCAAACACTCTTTGTAACAGACACCCATTTCTCCGGCGTTGGTTAGTTTTCCGGCGAATGGAGAATTTGTTGTTGTTTGTTTGTGTTTTGAAGACAAATCCATGTCTTTACTTTACTTCTCTCTTTATAGTGTGTTTACTCTTTTGTGATTAACGTAGTTAAAGAGGAGATTAGGTTTTGTGGTTTTTTTTATTTCAATTGTATTTTTATATCAAAAAGATAATTTTTTAAGTAAGTGCATGTGACGATGATGTAATTATATCGGTAAAGAACATGGCAGTGATGAAATATAATTAGGAGTTGAAAATGTAATAAGTGCTTACTCACAAACGTCCAAAACAAACACAGCAAAAGAAGGATACACTTACTGTAAATCAAATGAAAACCTATAACTCGTTTTCTTTTTACTTTTTTCTTATTTTGGTGAAGCAGAGACTTTTTTGTAATAAATATTTTAGTCACTAGTTTCTTGATATCTTCTTATTCATACGTAATAGACTATACAAAATATAATTTTTAAAGTCATATCACCGGTTTCACTTTTCACCAGTGGGTAACTTGTTGGTGGAGAGGAAGATATGGGTTAAACTGAAAAAGTTAATAAAAAAAAACAAATAAATAGGAAGAAGGAATATATTCGAACGAGAGGAAAGATTAAGTCCAAAGTGTATACGTGGCAAATGCCCATTACATGCATCGTACTAAAGGACAATTCCAGCTGCCCTGCAATTTCATTTTCATTTTCATTTTCCACTGTACAAACTTACACAGTTTATTAAAAAAAACTAAAAGTTCACATCAGAGCCCCAATTTTAGCAAAAATCGCTGTCTCGCCCCTGCATTTCTATCTGCTTAGTTTTAACCTTTTCTAATTTGATTTTTTTTTTCTTTGCCAACGGTCATAAAATACGGACCATTTTCTTATTTACGTCGTCCATTATGTTTTATATATAATGGCACTTATTGGTTTAGAGGTCTAAAACGGTAATATTTTACTTTTAACGATTAACCTTAATAATTTATAAAGCTGTTTTTGTTGTGTGTGTCTAATATAGGTATTACGTGTTCTACAACACTTTTGACTTGTGTCAATGTACTACATGTCTTTTGTAGAAACACCCTTTGATACATTGTATTAAAAGAATACTTCATATTTAATTTTAACAATAGTGGAGCAAAGAAGTAGTATGCCGTGACAATTGCCAAACTTTGAATTGTAATTAATTAAACATGAAAATAAATGGTCTAATCTCCTTAACCACTACCTTAAAGACTCTTATCTCTTCACCGACCTCCTCTGCTTCTCACTTCTTGTCATTGATGTGGCGCCGTAATTTAGTCATTCTTTGCATTTTGCTTACGTTATTGATTAGCTTTGGGTCGCAATTATGCTTGCATGTCCAGTTCTAAACACCTTCAATTATTATTGATATTTTTTTTTGCCATCCAATTATTTTAAATTTATAAATTTATAATCACCATATCCCATATCGAACAAATTATTTATAACTTGTAAACTCTCTTTTTTTTCTTTTGACTAAAAACTTTTGAATCTTGTTTCACTGCGACTTAGAATTAAATTTACAAAAAAAAAGTATTAAATTTACAAGGATGTAAACGATGTAACTTCTATTACATATACTTATTTTGTAGGAATATGTTACATACAGAAAATGATTTCTTGTAAAAAAATTAGATTCTTCGCGTGGCTAGACATTCCAATTGAACGAATGAATTGATGTGTAACTACATCCCAAGCGTGTAAAATATTGTGATCATACTGTATACACTAACAAGTGGAAATTATATTGTAAATTACAATGGTCCTAGCTAATTAAACCAAACATTTTAAGAGTATGTTTCGCCGACACGAACTAAGGTACGTTACACAAGCTCAAACAAAACAAAATTACGCTAGAGTACATTTTTCTAATTAATGTTGTAACTGTTTCGTTTTGACCGTGGTGGAATCCCTTGATTTGGATCAAAACTATTTAATAATTACAAACCTAGTTAAAAGCCTATTGGAGTAACTTCAGAAGCAATGTTTATCTTGATTTCCAAGTTTACACATCTTGCTTGCTTCCCAAGTTTACATATCTTGATTACCAAATTACTCCAGTTTTTGTATGATCAAATTGTAGACAGAATTTTTTAATGATCACAATTGTTTTTTTGAGAGTAACTAAAAAGGACATCATTGAAATTCGTTGACGGTATATTCGTAATTAACTAGATTACTAGAACCTTAATAAAAAGTAATGTAGATTCTAATTCATGAATGTGTGCAAAGATAAATTCATTTATTATACACGCGCGAGAGGCGAGAGCATAATACAGTACCTCTGTCGATAAAAGTATTCTTTGCGTGCAGAAATGATAAATATGAAAAATTACAGTAGTTTTACGTTTTGTCGTTTATTACTACAAACCTAGTCACCAATCACGCTTAATTAGAATCCAAATGTAACTATCGACGATATTCGACCACACAATAATAATAACAATCGGGGTGTATATAATAATTCTGCTAATAATTTCATTGACAGGACACTGATTTAACAACTATTTACTTAGCTTTTACAATTAGAATCTAGTAAGTTGAATTATATATATAATTGATTAAAAGTCGTGGGTCAAACAGCATCATAAATACGGATTAGAACAATGTCCTAACGATCTTGTCAATGACCAAAATGGCACGCGCATCACGCAATTCGGCCACTAGGGTTGGGAAGAAAAAGTAATGTTTAGCCGAAATTTAGATGTCATATAATCATGGGGTCATTTTGGCGTAACGTTTCTATCTATAATCCTATAGCTTATCTCGTTATTATTTGTCACGTTTGAAACATGACTTGTATTTTTTTCTTTTCTTCTTTTGCGAAACATGATTTGTATGTAAATAGTACAATAGTTATAGTGAAATGATTGAATACCTTACACAGTATATTTTAGCTGAAAATAATACTAATAAAAATAATAATTAAATGATAATAAAATAGTGATATTTCTTTTTGGTTATATTTCGATACATTTTTGAAATGTAAAAAATTAATATAAGATATTTTAATTCTTTTTTGGGTAATATCTTTTAAATTATCAAAATTATAATAGACTAGGTATTTACCCGCGTTATGCTGCGGAATATTTTTCTAAATTTTGTATATATTTTTAATATAATAAAATTATTTTTATAGTATAAATGAGTAATATATTTATTTTTTATTAGCTTAAGTTATGTATTTATATGTTTTAAATCTGAATAAATAATTTATATTTTTAAATTTTTTTATTGTCAAAATTATAATTTACTATTAAATTTGTTAGCTAAATAATTATAAATGTATATATAAGAATAAAATAATATATTTTATAGTACCTTCATGCTAATGACAAATATAATATATTTTCTCCAATAATTTGCCACTTGATCCTTCTTTGTAATTATATAAAATAAAATGTCATTTTAATAAAAGATTTATTAATTAATATGATTATCTTGAATTATAAAATTTATTTATTTATCAAATATTTATTATAAACATATGTTTCCAAAACTACGAAACTATAATCAATAACATTCATATTAAAACAATTGCTATTGCTTTAGAACTAAATAGGAAATTTTGTTTGAACTGTTGAAATATCGTTTTAGTTAAAGTTAAATAATTAAATTTTGGTTATTGTAAACATACTTCAACTTGGAAATTTAGCATATAGAAATTTCATCTTCTTACAAAAACCGAGAAATCATATTTCCCGTCAAAACAAAAAAACTTATTTTCTCATTAAACTGAGAAATCGCCTATTCCCGCCAAAACCAAAAAAATCATTTTCTCGTCAAACCTAAAACCTAAAATTTCATTTTCCCGTGAGAACCTGTGTTTTTCACCAAAAGTGCGAAATTACATTTTTTCACAAAAACATAAAAATTTCATCTTCGTGCAAAAACAAAAAAAATGTATTTTCCGGTCAATACCGAAAAATTTATTTTCATGCGAAAACTGAGAAATCGTCTATTCCCGCCAAAACTAAAAAAAATTATTTTCTCGTCAAACCAAAAATTACACTTTCCTACAAAAATAGATAAACTACAATTTCCCGCAAAAACCAAAAATTGTATTATATCCCGTGAAATTGTGTTTTCCCGTGAAAACTAAGAAATTAATATGTTTTTATCAGTTCAAATTTTTGCTGACGTGAGAACTTCTTATAACACAAGGCTTTTTACGTTGTTGTCATGGAAGTATGGTTGATGCTGAGCCTACACTTTTTTTCAATCATATATGTCTCTGTCAAACAAACAGATAGCTATAAATTTGTTTTATTATCTATTTGCTGTTATTTGTTATTTGAGTTTGAGTTTGGCAAAAAATAAAAGATAGATTTTTTAAAAAATTATTATTTAGGTTTGGGTTTGCTAAAATAAAGATTTTTTTATTTGTTGTTATTAATTATTTGGGTTTGGGTTTGATAAAAAAAATAAAACAGAAATTAATAGAAAAAGTATTTAAGTTTTTAATGGGTTAAGTTTAAAAATTAAAATAAAAAGATGAGTTGTATTAATAAAATATTTTGATTGGTGATTATTTTTGTTGAGGTGTCATGTTTATAAAGCTTGGAAAAACTGAGGTGTCAAACTATGGAGAGACTTTAGTGTTATTGTTGTGTTGATTTATAGAAAAATTCTTTTATTTAAAAGAATTTTTTTTATAATGTATAGCACTTTTACAAATATATTTATAAAATTATAATCATGCAAATTCTGTATTCTTTCTAAGTTTTAGTACATGTAGTCTTTGACTTTATTCGTCGAGAACACAGCATCCTGAGGAATAGGCCCAATAGATTTCTTTCATGGAATGGGCCTAAATAACTAAATTAAACAAGTAATGATTAGGCCCTCGCTGACTGAACCATCGTGGTTGACGGTTACGCGGCGGCGGCGAAGTTTAACTTGTCGGAAGTTATTTTCGTCGGAGTAGAACGGTAAGTCCTCGTTGTCCGTTGTTTTTCAAGGCTCCTTGGTTTAATGTATCTTCGATTTGAGGAGTTTCATCTGATTGCGAGTTTCTTGAACTTGTGTCACAAATGATCCGAGTTTCATCCAGAAGTAGTGATTAGTGAACGCTTACGGAATCTATAATTGGTTTTACGGTGTAGCACATTCATGGGGAATTCTTAGATTTTATGGTTTCTTGAAGCCAGAGGTGTGCGTAGAAAACTTCAATTTGTTTCAACTTTTCATTTTTCACTTGTATATTGTTAGAAAGACAAGATTTGGTTACGTTTTAATTTTAAAATGTGATTTTTGGGAGGTATTCGTAGTGAAGTTGTAAAATAGACAAATCAAAACTTTGAGATTTTGTATATACATTAGAAATGTTTTTGGTGGAGTCGAAGCAATGCAGAAAGAACAAAACTTATCAAGAAACTTACGAACTAAAATGCAAAACAAAAGCAATATTTTTTTGAAAATAAAATATATGTATTCTCTCCTGGTGTATCTGAACAGACAATCCTGTTCTTCATATTGAGATGGCTTCAAGAGCCAATACTCTCTGTTTTATCAAAACCTATACTTGAATAAACCAAAACCCCAGAGAAAAACCAACTAAACCTACCTCCATCTTGATAAGGTTGATCGTTGCGCCATCTTCTTCTTCTTGCATTTCTATAGTATATTTTGCCTTTCTCTGTTGTTTGATCGTTGTTGTGGCACTCAAGAGAACGGCTCGGATTTGTTGTGGATAGGATCTGATCCTCGTCTTACACGTCTCTTGCTTGATTTGAACGAGTCATCTGTCTTCTTATTATTCTCTTGTTCTTGCGTCTTCTCAGCTGCTTTGACATTGTTCTTGTTAACCTCCTCAAGAACACGCCCGTTTTCTCTGAGCGTTTCTTGATCTCCACGATCGCCTAGCTTTGAAATTTCACCTTGTTGAACTCCAGCTTGGTCTCCTTGTGTTTGTCTGAAGAAAAACTCTCTGTTTCTCGAGGCAAAGACCTTATATCTGTTGTTGTCTGCTAGTAATCCTATGCAGACAAGAAGCAAAAGCATAATTCTTGTACTGGAACCCAACATTTCTGCTCTTAGGCAGACAAGAAGAATCAGAGTATCTTTCTTTGTCTTCAAAGAAACAAGAAGGGTTTATATAAGAGTTATGAGGATGATGAGATTATAGCCAACTTGTGATTTTTATGATTTCGTGTTTGTGTTCCTTCCTGTAGATATAGTAGTCCTTGTTAATATATCAGTTATTGGGATTTGGAGGGAGCTTTAAAGTGTAAAGCGCAACAGTGGGTCCCTGGGACCCTGATGTATTTAGATTCACTTAAAAAAACATTGCTTTGGAAATCTAAGTAGATTAAGGCTGTTACGGAAGAATCTGACAATGATTGTACAAAAGTGTTCCGGTACACGAAAACCGCTAAGAAGTTTAAGTATCTTTCTTCTTTGGTTTACATACATTTTGCCATTCTAATATACATCTGAACATGCTTAGTGAGATTCATATCCCTAATCACTGGATTTGTTTATTTGCTATGTTCCTTTTCTGAATAGTTAGAACAGAGACGGCATGAAAAGAGTTAAGTTTTACGGTTCAATGGTCTCTTATCTGCTTTCTAATATGGGCACATTCACCGAGTCTAATGCTTTTTATTTACTTTGATTTCACAATTTGTACTTCGAAATATACAATGCCCTTTAACTTTTAGTTCGACACTAATCATTCAAGTTTAGGGCTCTTTATTATGCTGTGGATTCTGCCGCTATGTTATATGTAATTCCTTTGTTGTTAAGGAAAGTGGTTTTTGGTTTAGGAACATACCGGACCGGAGCCGTGGGCCATGCAGACCGTTGATACTATTGCATTGATACAGCCTACAGGAGCAAGCTACTCATATAAAGCATTAAGCTTTGGCAAAACAAAGTTACAACAGAGCAACCCTCTTGTAAAAGAAACAAAATACATTATTTAAGAATGATTCTTTATATTATTCTAAGATCTTCTTCCCCCTCTACTTTTGGAGTCCTAGCTCACTTTTTTGAGCAACAAGATCGGCTGCATGTTTACTTGTGCTACTTCATCACATCAATATCGAAAAAAACAACCATAACGTAACACCTCATAGTCTGTTTTTGTTTTGCCTGTAGTTTAGTATATAATTTACTAAAGATTTTAAATAGGATTGATCCCTTGATTGAGCAACTCTGTAGACAATATAAACTATAGTCTCTAATGTAGAAATTACCATTAGATTGTAGCTTGAGAGATTCGATATTTGCTTGCCAAGTTTAAGATCAGTGATACTAATGATTATTTTCTGTGTGTATTTGCTAATGCAAATTATGTTTCTATAATGCTTTATTTTTTCCCACCCTGTTGATTCATCTTCAGATCTTAATCCTCAATGCAATGATTCAAAAAGAAACACTTTGGTTTGATATAGTTCTCTTAATTATTATTATTTTTCTTTTTTCCTTACCTCATTTATTCACTAGGGACGATCTTTTTCTTTATCTGACTTCCCTTTTCTTTACTGTTGTCATTTAAATTTGTTTTAGCAATTTTTTTTAATTATCACATGGTGGTACTTGGAACATTCTGAAGCATCAGGTTCTGTCTGAAAGTAACATAATTTAAAACTGAGGATTGGATATTGCTCGCAGGCTCAAAAACAAAGTAGGATGAGACCAGTCGTTGGTCCAAAAAACAAAATACCCATTTGCTGATTTTGAGTTCCCCTTTGCTTTTTCTGCATTCTCGAGGTTAGTCCTAAAGTTGCAACTTTTCCTTTTACTTAAAAAAAACCCAAAACTTACACTTTTAAAATATAAGATAACGAAATCTTGAATGATGTTGATCAGTAGAGGAGATTGTATTGTTTTGTTTTGAATTTAAAGTAATAATATACTTTTTTCCGATTGGGGTCTTTGATGTGACCAATGAGATCTCTGATATGGTCGAAGGGAAGCGGCCACCATGACATGAGAAAGGATCCAAAAGAAGTTAAAAGCAAAGCAAAAACAAAGCAAACTTGGGTTATATTATATAATTGAAGTATATAGATAGATGATGGTGATATTCCATCGGTAGATAAAGGTATAATGCACACAATCATTAAAACAAATGGCAGATGTGAATAGTTTCCGATTAACAACATCCAGTCTTGTCGAATTATACTGACCCAGTCTTGAAAAAGTCGGTTTACTGTTAATAAAAAACAATGTGGCTTGGTCGGCATCCGGTTTAGGCTTTAGAAAACAGTCTTAACATTCCTAGTTTCTAAATGAAATTAAATAGATGTCCCATCTTAAGCTTATCTTAATTAAGTCCCTCTTTATTTTTACTGAGATTTGCAATTGTGCATTTTTGTTTCTTGATTGTGTGAGTATATAAATGGGCATGCCGCATGGGCTATTTGACATTCTAACAATATTGGGCAAAAACGGGCTTATAGTGAGATGGGCCTAAGTATGAATCTTTCTCCTCGGCCAAGTTTTGCCACCTTTGAGTAAATGAACATGTAGCATAATAATTTGTTTGAGTTCATGCGAAGTAAAAAACTAAAAACTGATGATTAAAAACTACTGCTAATCATTTTTTGATTTAGCTTACCCTAATCATTTTTTGATTTTACCGTTTTGACATATTATTGGGGTAAATTCGAATAAGTCAAACATATAACATATGAGCAGAACGTGGCTGTAGTTGGACCCAAAGCTCTACATAGGATGCGAATAGGTGGTATGATCATGTGCATATCAGACAGTCTCTTTATACATCAATCAAGTACAAGTGATTTATAACGTTAATGCTTGCTCTCAAACTAAGTTTGGTGATGGATAATCTTAATTCCATAAGTTTGTGTAACTTCTCATATTAAAAAAAAACACACTTTGTAAACATTAATTGAAATTAACTAAACAAATTTACCATATTTATTTACCAATTTCATTAGATCGTTTTAACCACACCGACCGTATTGTTGCAAACACTGCATATACGAGAGCCATAATTTAAGTGACTTGGAAGATACCAACAACGTTTTCACATTATACTTAGAAGTTAGAGTAATGGCAAGGCCAAATAATTGAATTCAGACAAAATAAGTTTTTGGCTATATAGATATATCACGGGTTCTAAAAACATTTACTTGGATGAGACAATGATAAACGTCCATAATTTTTTCGATTTATATTTCTCTCAGTCTCTTTCGATGTTCGGTGACCGTACTAAATTGTTTATATGCTCCACAAGAATCTAATACGAAATACTTCTCCTTTAGATTGTGCACATTGGTTCGATCATATCTTCTCGTTAATTTCTACTCACAATGGTGGAGGAAAAACGAAAAATTAGGACGTGGAACTCTTTTTGGTTTTTAATCTCTTCAAAGAGCTTTTTTTTTAAACAAATAGCATTTTAATATAGTATAAACTCAAATGAAGTTTAAGCGATGGTTAGAAGTTAGAACTTATGGTTTTTGGAGTTCGTTAGAGTTTAGAGTCTACAATTTAGAGTTAACATCAAATAACTTTGATTTTTATTTCGAAACAAAATGGTCTACAAATATGGCTTGTTAATAACATCTAAAAACTTCTGAAAAATTTCAAAAACTTACAAATGTTGTATAATTTTAACCAAAAAATGTGATGAACAATGTGCAACAACATTATTTTAGCACGTAATGTTACCGTTGATAGGTGTTTAGTGAACTTAAAAGTATAACTGTGTCAACTCTATGTTTATGTTAAATCAGATGTAAAATTGTGGTAACACAATAAAAAATACCATGTCAACTTAGGAGTAAAAAATCACAAAACAAAGTTGAGGAGGCTATTTTTAAAAAAGAAAATGGAAAATGTAATTAATTTCAAAAACTACAACAACTAGAAAATGTCATCTAACAAATTTCCTATAAGAGAAATATCCAAACCACCGCAACACTACTAGCCTCGTTTTCATGAACACGTGACGATCTCTTTCCTCTATGTTAGTAGTACATAATAACAAGTATTACCTTCTCATGGGGTTCCAAAGAAAAACATCAAAGATGGCTAATTAGTAAAATACTTAAGGAAAATATTCGAATTTGTATCGTAGGACTCAAGTAGTATTATATATGGTTTGTCTTGTCATAAAAAAAACCACTGAGAAGCCAACATGCTTATCATGGTCGGGACATAATGATAAAAGCTCACTATAATTTAATCATTTTGCTTCTTTCATTGATCATAAAAAGTTCCTCCAAATCCGCCTTTACCACATCCACAAGCCTCCCCACCTAATCTATACACACATATCACACATTTTTTTCTTTCTATATAGTAGTAAATAATCATGTTGACTCATATAGAATATTCCCATGCGTTCTTCACCACGCGACTTTACTCACAAAATCTCTACAATAATATTCTATGGAAATCTACGCATATATATATTGGATTTTTAAAACATTTATATATCTTTTTATAAAATGTTTTTTTTTAAATAAACCCTAATCCTATGTTCGGACACGTCCCCATGTCTTTCTTGTAACTATTCAAACTCAGCCTCAAGTGCTGCTCATCATCATCACCTCCCAAATCTCTCTTCTTTGGAGGTTGATGTTCCACGCAAACGACGTCGTTTAAGTCTCTCTTCTTCTTCTCCTTCTCCTTCATCACTTCTGATTTGATCTCCATCAAAGGAAGCTCCATCGATTTCCTCTCGTCAATATTATTATTCAGTTCTGTATCCGAGCTTTCGGAGGATGTCAACGAGCTCTCAACTGAACGTCTCGGCTGTCTAATTCCTCTGTTTCCTTGTTTCTTGCACCACAAGAAACCTTCTTCCGCAACCTCTTCTTCTTCTTCGTATTCTTCCACTTGCGTTAGCTCCGAGAACGAAGAACTATGATTCACCATTGCAGCTAATCTCGAGAGCTCGGTTCTCGCAAAGTCCATGCCGAGAGTGGAAGATGTGTAGCCAGCGAGGGTTTGTTGAGCTTTCACTAAAACTGACTGTAAATACTTCCCTTGTGCCTCAATCTTCACTTGCAAATGCCTCTGAACCTAAAACCAAAACATTTTTAAGATTCAAAACAGAAATTGTTGTGCTTACTTAGAGTCGAGTAGGATTTTTGATCGATGTTATTACTTCGATTTGTTCATGAAGTTTCTTTTGAACTTCCATCTGCATTTGTAAAGCCTCAGTGATTTGCAACCCTCTGTTTCAAAATAACAAACAATTTTCAGTTTAGTGAAATCTATCTATTTATAAAAGATACTATTCTTTTGATTCTCTGATCATTACGCGTTAGCTGGACTGTTGTTTTCTTCTTTGGTGACACTGCCTCGGACATCTCTTGAATCGTTTTTACTCTCAGCTTCTTGGTTTTCTGAAGCAGAGGAAACTGCTGGATCAAGAAACAAAGCATATATATAAGAAGTTCAATATATTTGTTGGAAAAAAAACCAATAATCTGTTTTGATCTCCTTTGTTTTTATAACACTATTAATGTTAATAACACATGGAAAAATCTCAAACCTTCTAGCTTGTTATCATCGAACTTCAGGCTCTTCCCTAGCCGATATTTCTACAGAAAGATAAGATAAAATCATCTAAAACTGAGAATGAAGAAAAAAAATAAAAACACTGATTTAATAAAAAGATTCATGTGTACAATTACTTGTAAATGGCTCTTGAGATGATACAAGGTAAGCCCAGGAATCTCCATAGCCTTCATCAAACCCTTAGGTGTTGCCTCTGCAAACACAATAAAAAAATCTAAATAAAACAAGAAATATATGATCAAAAATGTCAAAAACATTAAAAAGAAGATGAAAAACACAAATTAAGTACTGTTAGGTCCTCCGAGTTGATTAACGGCTTCGATGAATCTGTGATGAAGCTCACAAGTCCATTTCAATCTGGGTTTAGCATCCGTTGACAACACAAGATTCATCTTTGTCTTCTGGTTATTACCATTATTAGTATTTCTCTCCATTAACAAACACATACAAATCTTTCTCTCTAGTATTACAATCAAGAACGACCCCAAGAAGTTTTAATAAAAACGAAAGGGTTATTTGTTTTCAAAGATTGTTGGGTTTGTTGGCAAAGATATGGAGATTTATATATAATTATTTGGAGTGGTTGATGTTTTTACTTTTCTTCTTCTCTCACTCCATATCTGGAAACATGAGTGGGGTTCTGTTGGAGAAGGGAATATATGCTCTCTTGACCCTTTCCTCTTTCTTTCTTTATTCTTTATTTATTATTTCATGTTTTTCTTCTCTTTCTTCGATCATTTCCCGATTTCACACCGCTTTTTTAATGTATTTGCTGCCTTTTGTTATTTCGTGTTACATTTTCTTCGATATATGAGGCAATAAGATCAGATTAAAAAAGGTTTGTACACTTCGTTTTTGGTCGTATAGACATCGATCTATCTTAATGGACACATGTCGTATGTGCATACCTATTTTTTTCCTTTGTTTGCAATTATTATTACCGTTTTCTATTCTATTTTCAAGACGGTCCTAATTTTACTTTCCTATCTTGTTTTTTTCTTCGTATGCATAAATGGGTATTGTTTTTTGTTACATTATATGATAATGTGAGTTTAGGATTTTGCACGATTCGTAAAAGTTGTAGTCTTACAACATATATATAACTATTTCTTCTGGGAATGATTCAATTATAACAATTCTATATATAGGGTTTGTCTCTTGATAGTTATAGTACTTTTAAGCTATATATAAGTTTTTTCATTTATCTATGAAATTCATTTTAATAATAAGCTAGATATCCACCACACGGATTGTATAATGAATATACCACGATAGGTAGTGATGCATTATGATTAAGTAAGATTGTATAAATACAAGAATTGCTCCTAAAAAGGAGGGTAAAGAAAAAAGTGTAAGGTTTGTTGTGTTGTGTCTCATCTCTATCTTGCCTTGCTCTACGGTAATGTTGCCCCCCACCATACTTGTGTATATATATACAATATATGTCCCTTCATATACCAAATTTCAGCTGAAGAAATAATATATTTATATATATATATATACACATTGACTCACCTATGTCGACGGAAAATAATATAGACTCACCTATATATGTGTGTTACCAAAATTATATGTAAACAGCCCGTACCTGATGTTTACATATACTATCATGCATCGTTGTATTCATGATCTCATGAGTCATGTTACTTTTCACTATGTGATAGCAAAAAACTTACTGTTGTATATAGTATGAGATTTTCTTTTGTTGGATAAAAACTTTTCTTATCAATTATTGAAACGAATCTTTTTCCTTATTTTCACATCAAGTTTTTGATACACAATAAATCTAGTTCAATAGAGTCATAAAACAAAGGATGGGCGTGGTTTGAAATTCACAAATATTGAGATATTCGTTATAGTGAATCTGATTGGTATGAGAGAAAAAAAAAGATTACCGTACTTAAACCAGTCCCAAATGTAATTTAAAACTATCGAAAATAGTCGAAATTTCACTCTCTGAAATATAAAAACTTGAATGTAAAAGAAGCAAAAGTAACTAATCAGCCAACAGATAACTGATCAAATCTATTATTTTAGTTTTAAAAAAATCAATCATTCTTTAGTAAAAAAAAAAAATCAATCATATATGACAATGAAACAGCTATCCAAATGGATATTGAGTATTTGTGTTCAGTCTTGTATCAAATTTTTGTGTTGCAGTAGATATGTACCTGTATATATACTTAAAAGTGTTTAAAATTGGTAGATATTCTTGTAAAGCTATATGTTATATAAAATATATGTATATGTCTTTTTCAAGGAAAGAAAAGATGGGAGTGATTGGCAGATTCTCTTGGTTGTATGTAGAGGTGAGGGAATCTAACCTCAATATATCTTCTAAAAGAACAATTTCTTCATCTGCCTTATTTTTTTCTATGTAACCACCCACACAAAGATAGTGAATCCAGTCAGATTTCGTATAATTATTGGATTAATATAATAATAATAATAAAGAATTAAGTGAAGACAGTAACCAAAAGATATAAATTATATAACAATTATGTGCATGGTCTTGACCAAGAAAAAAAAAACTATACGCATGGTGCATAAATGTCCACAACAACATATAATGAGGCAGAAAAGATGGCAACCCAGCGCTATGATGAATTTTTATGATCCACATCAGAGGAATCTCTCAGGTGTTCTTGGATCTGAGTTTTCTTGCAATTATTTTGTAAAAGATCATTATATGTATTTCATCATATTATTCATGTATAATGTGTGAGAAAAATACCGTCAAATTGAAACCGACCAAAAAGAAAAAAAAACCGGTGACTCAACACATAAACACACAATATTTTCTTTAAAACCGAATTTTAAAAGAAAAGATAGTGTTTAATTTTATTTGTCAAAAAAAAAAAGATAGTGTTTAATTTCACCGCATCAAATTAATGATAGTCTTTTATGATAGTCAGATAAACTTTTTTTTTCAAGATAACCAGATTTGTTGATCGAGATTTGTCTTCTCATGCCGCAGAATCTATTCATTGAAAGCTTGAATTTTAGTAGAGTTGTTTTTGTAGGTGTATAAACTTAAGGAAAATTTTCAAGTACTGAAAGTATATATGTTTTAATTTTTACATCATAATCAAACTATAAAAAAATTATATTCAACCATTGAATCATGAAAGAGATCTTAAATCCTATCGAAAGATACATCCCTGGTGAATAAGAATTAAGATTCTTTTTTCTTACACATTCATTTTTTGGTGTTATGTGTAGGGCCATTATACAACACTAATAAGTTTTAGCCAAGTTCTAAAAGTGGACTCCATCAGAAACTTACAACTCCCAAGTAACGTGTTTTTGTTTGTTTGTTTTTTATCAAAGTATTTTTGTTTCTTCAACTTATATAAACCATAGTAATTATTATTATTAATCACAGTAATATAAACTAATTACGTTTTTCTCTTTCACATAAGTCTTTTCTCCAAGCATGTCTTGTTGTCGAAGCAACAAATATATATATATATATATATATATATATATATATATATATATTCCAGTAAAAATTCTTAGCTAGCAATTAAGGGGAAAAATTATTTAATGTTGCAAAATATCATTCCTTTAACAAAACTGAAAGAAAAAAAAAGGTAGGACTTGTGGATTTGTGAATTGTGATGGCCTATAGAGAGCCGTCGGTAAAAGCTGAGAATCTGATCGAGCTTTAATTTTTCGGGCTTTGGTCTTTAGAATCGAAATCTAATGATTATTCTCTTAACCCTTTTTTTTTTTCTTTCTGAAAATACATTGTTTAATTATTCATGAGTGTACTACAATTACCCTTAATATAATCTGTTTAAACAATAACTTGCTTCATATCTTCATTTTTTTGGATAAAAGGATATACTACTTTTATGATAATTCTCTAATAAGGCATAAAAATTGTTATGATATTTGCTCCAATGAGGCAAAAAAATTGTAAATTGTGAAGAAAAAAAAAATATGAAAACTAATAGAGAGTGAAATTGGGGGACCCAATGGGGTAGCTTGATGTCGTGGAGAAGCATCTTCTCCTACTACGAGTTTCTGTTTTAGTGGACACCTTTCATTTGTTCATTTCTTAAAGAAAGGAATATTAATAATCATTCAATCCAACTTCACATACACACATGCATGCATAAATGCATGCGAATGAGAGAGAGAGATGATCATATATATCAAATATTCATATGTGTGGCCCGAATGTTTGAAAAACAAGCAAAGAAGAAAATCAGCAAAGCCAAGAGAGGATAATGATCATATAACTTTCTCTTTAACCACCTATTTAATATACTTTATTCTGATGCTAAAAGAAACATATATATATATATATATATTCTCTAATAACTTGTTGAATATCTACACCAATGAAGTAAATCATATCAAGCTTTTATATATCATATTGACATTGTATGATGAAGCGTTTACGTGATATATATAAGAATCAACAGCTACATGCCGTGTAAGAATGATAGTAACAAGATCAATCATACCATCGAAATATAGTTTTTGGATTGAACTTATATAGCCTCATACGTACCTAACTAATTTCATATGTATAGACTACAGAGAATTAGAGATGATCGGCAAAAGGAAACATATATAGTACTTAAATGTGATTATCTTACAATTAGTTTGAGATGATGGTGTGATGAATATGAATATATGATTCGGAAATATTAACCGTGAAAACTTTAATATACGCAGAATTAACGATTTTCGCTTTTTTGGTGTTGAAAAATTTAACAATCTTCTCATGTTAATTTCTATTGTAGACTTCACTGTCTTCGTCTTTACTAAGATTTGTACAACAGAAAGCATTTTATTATAATTATCCCATGGATTAATCTAACGTGTCTTTTCATTCATTGTAATGAAGTCATATGAGATCAAATGAATAAATGATAGATGGAAGAAAGCTATTAAAGAAGAAAACAAAAGGAGATTCTTGAATAATGTTGAAATTGGATCTAAAGCAGTCTGAAAGAGAGATGCCTCATCGATTATTATTCTCTTTTAGCTTTAAGGGACCCAATTTCAATCGAATGTGCTTGTAATGCACAGATCCAAATGCGCAACAAAGAACATCTAAATATAATAAAAATGTTTTAAACCCCCCGTAAATCCATTGTCGAACAAAAGTGACATCATTCATGTGTCACTTGATGACAATAACTCAATGAAACTTAGATATAAACGGGTAGTAACGAGTCAATAGCATTTTATTTACGTAATAAGTTCCATTTTGCTGTGAAGTTTTCATATGTAAAAAGCTATATATTTGGGACGTGGATAATATATTCATTCACAAACAATTTTTAAATTTGTGTTCACAAAATGAACATGGTTAAAGGTTGTTTAATTCTTACAAAATGAAGCCCAAGCTCATATCCAAGAGTGTATATCAATACTCATATCGTGAAAAAATTGAAGTCAAAAGTGTTTCTTCCGAAATAGCTTATAAAAAAAAAATCTCGATTTTTGTATTTTTTTAATAAAAAATATCTTCTAAAACACTAAAACCACTAAAACCCTATATATATTTACCACAGTAGGTTTGAATATCATTTGTCAAATCACCAGTTTGCTAATCAATACAACAATAACCCATAAATCTTTCTATGTGTTGACAACTCAGCTTTTTGTGTTATTAAAAGCT